TGGCCGACTCTTATGCGTTTTGACGAAAAGGATGGTTACGACCGTGCACTTCTGGAAGGCCTGTTAGACAAGACCTACATGGGATACATGGGCACCTTAACCACCAGCACTGCGGAGGAAGGCCACGCGGAGCGCTACGCCGTGTCATCTCAGTACCTCAATCTTTGCAAGAAGATCCATGGGCACTCAAGCCCGGCGACTCGGGATGCTACTCTCCGTCTCGCGGAGATCTGCGAGAAAAGCGATAGCCGTCTCGAAAAGGCGCTTGCCCTTTACCACCATATCCTCAAGACGAAGGAGTGGGTGCCGCAATCGCAGGCCTCCCGGCCTTTGCCTGATATGACGGACCCGACGGCGATGAGTATCAAGCACAAGATCGCTCAGATTTATCTTCGCAAGAAGAGCACCTCCGACGAGGCTCGTGCTTTGTACATGGAGGAGCTTACCTTGTCCAAGCAGCAGCGAGGTCTATCCTCCTCCCCGACACTTTTGTGGCTGCGTGAAGTGGCTCTGGTGCATGCCTTGAAGGATACGATCGAGTCGCGCAATCAGGGTGCAAGCATTCTACGGGAGCATGTCAACGAGGTCATCCGCGTCACTGCAAGTCGTGAAGCGCTGGTTGAACGCGCTCACCGTCTCGCGGCGATCTATCTCGAATGCGGGTATAAGGATGCCGGCTACGATTTGATCGACGAGCTTCATAAGAAGGTCATTCATGAAACTCCCGCCGCACAACGAGTGGCCCTGAACGAGCACCGCCCTGCCGTCTTTGTTGCCGCGTTCGGGGAGGAGTTTGGTGGCAAGAGGATGACTTACAGCCAGATCCTTGACGCCCTGGCTCAGGAAAGCGGCATGTACAGTGAATACCAGACGAGTCTTTCCCGGCACGACATCGTCACCACTCTCGTTACCGGCCAGAAGCTCCATGTCATGCAGACCGAGCAGAAACGCACGACGGCAGCCACCAAAACGCAGGGCAGCTTGTACGAATACTTTTGCAACTCGCTGTCTATCTCTCCCGGGTTGCGCTCCAAGGACGTGGTGCACCAGTTCTACAACCTATGCCGTCGCGAGGTTGTCAATCAGGATTATAATATTAAAATTATCACCGAGACAACCCACATGGTCTGCGACTTGTGCAACACCTCGCGCTTCCAGGGTGCTGCAGACTTGACAGGCGTGTTCCACTCGTTCGTGCACTTGACCGACGGGCTGAACAGCCACGAGGCAATCTTCACTGCCATCAAACTCTGCCTGTATCTCAACGGCTACCAGACGAGCAAGTGCTCGGACAGCGGCACCGCCAAGAACATGGCATTCGAGTCGCAGATGCTCCTGCAGGAGATCATGGCCAGAGCCCGCCATCTGAAGATTGAGTTCTCTGAACTCCCATTCCCCGAACTGAACGATCTGGTCACAGTATTGGGTGAACATGAGATGTTTGACGATCTAGAGGTATCCCCTTCCCCCTCTCCCTTTTGTGTACGTACGTATGCTAATTGCTACCAGACCATCCTCACCGATCTATGGACCTCGCGCATCGTCCAGAAGACCTGGTCTCCCAACATGGTGGTCTGGATCGGCCGTCGCCTCGTGGAAACCCGCTTCTGCCGCGGGCACACCACGGCCGCGATGCAGCTGGGCAAGGACATCTGCTACAACTTGCGCCAGGTCTGGGGCAACTGCGACCCCCTCTCGCTTGAGATGACCAAGCTGCTCTCGGGCCTGTACACGGCGTCAGGCAACCACCTCGCGGCAGTGACGCTGCACGAGTCGGTGCTCCATGAGCTCCTGAACGACCCGGACGTGGACCAGGCGCAAGCGGCGGACACCGTCAGCCAGCATCTGCAGCTCCTCAAGCATGCGCAGGCGCGGCTCAGCAAGGAGAGTGACCAGGCTGTGGATACGAGCGCGTACGACGAGCTAGCGCAGCAGGTTGCTACCAAGTTTGGAGTGAAGCAGGAGAGTCTGCAGGGGCAGGACGAGGACGTCGGCATGTGGCATCGTCCGCGGAGGTTCAGTCTGGATGTGGAAGAGGAGCAGATGCATTCGAACCATCTGCGCAGCAGCAGTGGCTCGGCGTTGCTGAATGGGAATGCGGGGGCGAAGCGGATTTCGATCACTGCGTTGTAGGAACAGGGGCTGTAATTTCTGTAATTTAATCACTCAGAATGTGTCTTCATCTATGAAAAGTGCTAGTGTATAGTCGCAATTTACGTGCTATGCAACCATACATACTTTTCTGCGCTCGGGCAGTTCCTGGTCAGCCGACGAATACATGCAATAATCTTTTCTATTTTAGTCAATAGTCCATTCGAATTGGGTCGAGGCAACAGTCCACGTCATCGACATTGGGAGGGATGACTCTAATCGCGGACTTAACGCTATGCCCGCCGATCCTAACGACCAACTCCGTAGGGCCGAGAATGCTTGCAGCATAAATATTTAAATAGCAGGCACCCCTCTGATCATATCCATCCCCAGAAAACCTCCATTGTCAAGGTGACGTTCTTCAAAATGGGCTTCCTCTACTCCCAATTCTTCGTAACCCCAGCATACCCCACCCACTCCTTCAAAGACCAAACCATCATCGTCACCGGCTCCAACGTCGGCCTGGGCCTCGAAGCAGCACGGCACTTTGTCCGGCTCAACGCTGCAACCGTGATCCTCGCCGTGCGCAACCGCCCCGCCGGCGAAGCAGCCAAAGCCTCAATTCGCGAGTCCCATCCGGACTCCCAAACCTCCATCGAAGTATGGGACCTGGACCTCGCGTCCTACGTCTCGGTCCTCGCCTTCGCAGAGAACGTCTCCCAACTGCCGAGACTAGACGTCCTGCTGTGCAACGCGTCCATCGCAACGGCAACCTTCCAGCTAGCAGAGGGCCACGAGCGAACCATCACCGTGAACGTGCTCAGCACGATCCTTCTGGCTCTGCTCGTCCTCCCGACCCTCCGCAGAAGCGCAGAGAGGTACGGGACCAAGCCGCGCCTGACGACGGTCGTCAGCGAGGTGCACGCGTGGACGAAGTTCCCTGAGCGAAACGCGGAGAATACGTTTGCTGCGCTGGACGACGAGAACCACACTAACCTGCGGGAGCGGTACCCGACCTCGAAGTTATTGCAGGTGCTAATCCTGCGGGAGATGGTGGCGCGGATGTCGGACGAGAGCGTCGTGGTGAATATGCTTAATCCTGGGCTGTGCCATTCGCAGCTAGGCCGCGAGGGGGGGATCTTGCTTGCGCTGATGAAGATGGTGATGGCGAGGTCGACGGAGGTGGGGAGTCGGACGCTGGTTGCTGCGGCGGCGGCGGGGGAGGAGAGTAATGGGGCGTATATGACTGATGGGAAGGTGGATAACGGGGCGTTGTCGAAGTTTGTGCGCAGTGACGAGGGGAAGAAGGTGCAGGAGAAGGTTTGGGGGGAGTTGAGGGAGATTCTTGAGGGGATCAAGCCGGGTGTGACGGGCAATTTGTAGTATATCGAAGAGTAGGATATCTTATATGGCAGCAATAATAATCATGTTTACGACATGCATATTAGATCTGCCTCCTGATTGTCTATCCGGACATAGCGGACATAACGGACAGGCATAGGTCATACTCAAAATAGTCAAGCATTTGACAGTCAGTCTGAATAAGGAATGTAATCTAAATTGTGATATAAGAGGTGATGCGAATCGCAGTAAGCCATCCATGGCTATTCCATGACGAAAGCAGGACTAGATTGCCGTAACATCAACCCAGAACCTGGTATCATCCTTCTGATACTTGGGATCACTCTCAATCTGCTGCTGGATCCACTGAACGGCACTTTCATACGCTGCTCCAATTAGCCCGTACCTCCATCAGAGCCGGAAAACATACTATTGATATCATCCGTGTACGGATTCTGCAGCCCAGAAGCTCCATTGCGATGGCCCGCAACCCAGGTATCAAACCCATAGTGCTTCTCCCCGTCATGACGGGCCTTGACATCTTTCTTCAGGTCGTGGCTGTACGGATTAGCTCTACCCTAGCAATAACAGACAGGGACGTACTTCAAGACAGCCCCATTGGACACCTGCTCAGCAGACTGGCCCTGAAAATCCCTGGCAGAAGTACGCAGCATCATCCAGTTCTGCTTGAAGATGCCAAAGTTGGTCGCGTCGCCGGATTTGCCGTCGCCGTAGACGTAGTCGGCTTTCATGTGGTCACTGCCGTCAGGTCAGTCATGCAGACAATTGAAAGGCAGCAAGGCATATACCTCTCTAGCATGGCAATGGCCATGTCCATGGTGTTTCCGCCAGCCTTGACAAGGGCTTGCTTGCGCTGTCCTAGGCCAGAGACGGTGTAGCTACCGCGGTTGTCACACATGGCAAACTGGGCGAGGCCAAAAAGGCTGACGATAGTGGTGAACTTCATTGCTGGCAGTTAATTTTGCGAGTTCAATTACGTCTTTGGAAGTGAGTCCGGATATGATCGGTTTATATAGTCGAGAGGGTATTGCTCCAGGTGGCTTTACGAGCTCTCTGCTATGGTCCACAAGCTCCATACAAGGATAATCCTTATAACATGTCATATACCCTATTTCACGATTGATGGCTTGTCCTGAGACCCATCGGCACGGAGTAGATGGCAGTAGGACGGCCCGATCTGTCAAATTACCAGTCCGTCGGATGGGACCCTACGGGCGTCGTGCTGGACATTTCCCCATTTGCCACGGGGAGTCCGTCTTTCGTTAACAAATAAAGTAGATTGGGGGCGAGAAAGAGGTATATGTGGATACGCGGGAAGTTGATGTTTCATGGTGCTACATTGCGGGCCTTAAGCATCCTCCGGCAGATTGTCTACTCTTGATTTTAGGCAGCCATTAGAGCTTAGCTTTGGAATGCAGGCGCTCACTGATCTATGCATCCATGAAGTGGACGAAACGAGTTGAATATAATTTAGATCCACAATTTGGGCTTAGTGACTTGGTGCTGAGGAGGATTGAGGCTGTTACCGAGCCTATACTCTCAACGGTCTACTCACCATGAAACCATGGATGCTCCAATGCCTGGCATGCTGTCACTCGTTTGGCTGGGTCCAAATTTGTGAGTTGCCGAATAAGATCCTTGAATGCTGGATCAACGACATCAGGCCACTCGGAAAATGGTGTGTATGGGATGTGTTCCTCAGCCCTTTCATCCCATAGCATCCTTAGGATCTGGCAACTAATCTCATCATCGCCGATGTGTTTTAAAAGACCGTTGATCCCTTCAGGGTCTCCAAAATACGACACTTGACGTTGCAGGCGAATGAAGGCGGGCAGTGCACCCTGGCTCTGATGTTTCCTGAAATCATCATCAGGACCAAAGATGACGCGCCTGAGCATAGCATAGATGCACTGACAAGGCCAGTTAGTACTTAACAATCTGTCAATTGATCTAGTAAACTCACAACGACCCCAAATGAGAAAATGTCAGTCGGCTTATTAAGCTCCCCCTTGACGTGTTCCTCGGGACTTCGCCAGTTGTCGTTGCCAGCAAGCATACCTTTGATACATCTACCTTTGGGAAGATAAGCAGCATTTTCAAGGTCGATGATCTGAACCCGTTCGATTGCAGTATCTTGACCATTGCGCTGGCAGTCAACCATAATATTGTCTGGCTTGATATCTAGACGTATTTAATAGAACTCCAGGAGACTGAATGGTAGTGCAATGGGGAGTACCTAGATGAACAACATCTCGATTGTGTAATTCAGCAATTCCTCTCAGACTAGCCTTCAGGATCTGCTTCCGCGCTCGTGGAGGTAACCCCTCCTTGACTAGGTCGAGGAAGTTATGGGTCAAATATTTATACACCAGTATTCGTTGGCCAGGTATGGCGTCGCATGGCAATCGGATGAATGAAGACCGCTGTAGCTGGGGCCGGATTTTCTCATGAAAGTTATCAAAAATATCCTTTGGTATGTCTTTCAGAACAAACTGATCTTTACCAGATCTACAAGAATCAGCTAGCGAACTAAGAATATGGGTGAAGGACGCCGGACGTTGCCAACCAGACGCGACCCATATGTGGTCTGTCTTGAAGTAGTTCTTTGAACTGGTAAGAAGATCCAGAAGCCCCAATGTATTCATTAGGTGCAGACGCCATTTTTGCAATGGTCCTTCGAAACATGGTCTTTGTCCTCCTGCGAGATGGATGAAAGAAGGACAAGGAAGCATCAAAGCATCAGGTTGCTTGACGAGCAAGGGATGTTCGACTAACCAATTCCGTACTAGATTCAAGGATGGCCTGAGGAAGGAATGATTTTATATAGCTGCTGCACTATCATTTCCACCAGGACCAGTTAGAAATGGTTGTCTAGACCCCATTTTGACTCATTGGTCTCACTGCATACATGGATAACCTCACAATGCCTGTAATAGGCTAGCACAGCCTCGTATTCGCAATGTAACCTCAACAGGTTAGCTTCATGACACACAGTCAGCTACATAAGCCTACATAAGCCTACTATCTTCTTACTCTAATCCCACCACCAGATATCGATATCTATCTGATCAACAAAATGGCGACAGACAAATCCGCCCGCCACTACATCGAAATCATCTCCACCCGCCCCCAGAAACCCATCGAAATAGTCGACTACGACCCCTCCTGGCCAACAGCCTTTGCATCCATCGCACAGCGCATCAAATCCGCCCTCGGCCCAAAAGCACTTACGGTCAATCACGTCGGCTCAACCAGCGTCCCCGGCCTGCCCGCCAAAGCCGTCATCGACGTCGACCTCGTCGTCCCAGACCCCACCGCCGAGGACGACTACGTCCCTGCGCTGCAGGCCGCCGGGTTCCAGTTCCTCTTCCGCGAGCCGAACTGGTACGAGCATCGCTTCTTTTGGCTGGCGGAGCCGTATGCCAATGTGCATGTGTTTGGGCTGGGGGCAGCGGAGCTGAGCCGTCATCAGCGGTTTCGGGAGTGGTTGGTTGCGCATCCGGAGGATCGGGAGTTGTATGTCAGGGCAAAGAGGGAGGCGGCGACGGCAAGTCGTCAGAACGGGGAGACGGTCCAGGGGTATAACTTTCGGAAGGAGAAGGTTATTGAGGAGATTTTCGTGCGCGCGGGGATTCCGCTGCCGGAGAGTGATTAGCTGTCTTGACAGTTGTGTTAGACGGATTACGAGGTGCATGGTATGTACTTTGGAGCTGTGTAGACTATTGCATTATCCTGTCTAAGCTCGTAGTCCATCCTCATTAGCACTCGATTCCTCCAACGTCTAGCTGTTATCTCTGCATACCCAACTGGTGGCAGGCGGCTAAATCAACCCGTAGATAAATCCCAACTGATCCATCTCATCCCCATCCTGCCCGTAGAATCCCACAATCTGCCATCCCTGCGCAGCCGCAAACTCCTTGCAATCGGACGTGGCCGTCCCCGCACTCACCGTCCGTCCGGTGCTCGTCGTGGCCAGCAGGTAAAAGTTGCGCGTGTGGCCGTTGTACTGCCCCTCGCACAGCTTCGCCTTGGTCCAGTACTCGTTCGCCGCGAGGGTGAGTTCCGCGAGATTGCCTCCCGTGCCGCCATGGATGTAGCTCTTGCCGGAGGTCAAGGTGAGACCGACGCTGTCGAGCCGCGACGCGCCGCGCAGGGAGATCTTGCTTGGCTTGTTCTGCCCGCTGGAGGTGCTGGGGAGGGAGTCGAGGTCGTTGAACCAGGTTCTACTTTATTAGCTGGCGTCACTGACTTATGGTAATGCTGACTTACCCGTGTGGTCCACCAAAGAGGTCACTCTGGCGGAAGGAATTGGACATGGTCCAGGTAAAGGTGCTCGTGATTGGATTGTGATCGGAGAGGATCGTCCCGCTGCTGCTGAGGAACTTGTCGCTCTCGTAGTTCCAGAAGACGGCCTTCAGATCGACGGCACGGCTTCCCCGGTAGCTATTCCCGTCAGTATTGCTGCTATTGCAGTCACAAAGGCTGAAGGAACGTACAAGATCTTATCGACAGTTTCACAGTTGTTGGTCGTGCTAGGGTTCTGGCAAATCAACGCACTGGTCCCCTGGGCTGGCTCGGCTCCCTTGAGGATCAGCTCAACCCACGGGTTGACCATGCCATTCTGCGTCTGGAAGACGCGAATATTCTCGCCGGCCGAGGTATACCGCGCATTGGTGTCGCCAAACACCAGCACCGCATTGCCGACCGAGTTGACCTTGATGTAATCGGCCACCTGCTGCAAATTGGCGCTGCGGGCCGTCACATCGGCGGCATTGGATCTATTCATGGTCAGCTTAGGCGACAGAATTGAAAGAAGAGAAATACCCAGCGTCGGCGTGGAGATTGTAAAAATCCACATATACGCCCTCGTCGACGCGCACCCGCATCGAGGTGAAGCCCTTGGGAGTCAGACAGTCTGCCCCCTCGGCATCAGAGCACGTCCCCCACTTGGTCCGCACAAAGTTGGTAAATTGAAAGTTCGACAGCGTATTCAGACCGGAGCCGATCCCCGCGCCGCCAGAGGTGGGAGTGCGGTAGGGATGGTTGTCGGTTTCGTAGATGTACGCGTGGTAGTTGAAGTCCTGTTCCGTCAGTTCATCCCGAGGTATGAGGGTATGCTACAGACTGACCTCCTGCACATGGATAACGTCGTATCCGTACTGGGCGAATTTCTGACCGATCTGACGAGAGTTTTCGGTCTTGTCGCCTGGGACGTCGTTGCCGTTCAGGACGGCGGGCAGACCTGCGACGTTGAATGCGAGCACGCTGAACTCGCCAGCTGTAGCAGCCAGGGCTGGAATGCCTGCTCCGAGGAGAAGAAGAAAGGACCGCATTGCTATTGCTGGTTGACTATGGATAGTCAGGTAAGTTGAGCTATGAAGTGCATGAGAACCTGCAGATATTCGCTGATATTTATACCTCGTCCACCCCGGTGACGGCAATGCCAGACGCTAGCAGGCATAAACCGAGGACAATTAATTAATCCTACAGATGGTGCAGCAGCCATTGGGTTGTACTGATTAGTAGACTTGGCAGCTCGTCGCTAAGAGTGATTCTATATTGAACCGGAGCTACGCCGTCCACGTGGGTGGCTCTGTGGTGAATACCCAGACGAAGGATGCGCCAACCGGCTAATTGAGAATGAATTCCGTCCTCCGGCGGATTCAATGTCTCACCTTGGTGACTTACATGCAAGCAAGCAAAGGTTGGCATAAAGTCTGAAGAATCCAGTGAGGATCTTCCATCAATAAACGTTTTCCCGCTCATTCGTTGGTCTTGCACGTTTCGGAATGGTGAACCGAATAAATGGTGCCAAGATCGCTTTGATAGAGTTGAGCTTTCCATCGCAATGTATTGTCTGCAATTGATCTATATTTCCCAAAGTCTCATGTTATGAAGTGTCTATGTACTGGCCAATACCATGTTCTTGTCATCTTCGTATAACCGCATTCCCACGTCGTCCGTTCCATATGCCTTGGTCAGGCTCACACCGCGCTTGTCAACTCCATCCTGATACAGAAACAACAAAGGGATCGGGTCATTCTTCCATTTGGGAACTTGTGCTCGTCGAGTTTTCCATATCGTTCCAGCCAACGTTCCTGCCCCCAGAACCCAAACCAGGGCGGGTAAGACAATCCACGCCCAACGCACTTGAACATAGGAAACACTCGTCATTGCCCGTCCAACCGTCATGTTGGCGCGACTCAAATCCGAATTGGCTCCTACATAGGCCGAGTCCCGGAAGGTCTTGGACATAGCCTGTGCCACGTTTTTCATGGCGCACTCCAGTTTCTCGACGGATCGGACATCGCATCCTGTAATGTTCCCGAGCGACATGGCTTGAATGAAATCGCTCGGAGCGTAGATGGCAGGCTCCCGGGTCTTGAAGACTACGCTGTTCAAGGTCTGCAGGAAGAACTGCCCGAAGAACCGACTGTTGAAGAAGTCGGTGATTCCCATGATAGCTGAGCTACCCAGCGTAAACCGACTGCGTGGCGAAATTCCGAAATCAGACCCCCATGGCGGTTCGAGGTAGAGTCCCGTCGGAACGTTGGTCCAGTTCTTTTCCCATGGAAAGAAACCCTCGGTCCAGACCCCCAGTGTCTCTTCGCGATAGACATTGTCTCGGACAGTTGCCTGGAAGCTGCGCACAATAGACTCGATAGAACACTCCATCGCCTGCCATTTACCCTCACCCGGGGATTCAACCGAGGGATCAAAATCGTATGGCGCGATCATCTGGATTGGGGGGAGCGTAGCATTCTTATACACCAGCGCTTGATCTGGGAGCACGGCGGCAATGGAGATGGATGCATATTCATACTGATATGGTATGAACCAGGCGGTTGTATTAGACGGGAGCATAATAGTGCAGTTAGGCTGTCCAGCATAAGTAAGATTCTCCGGAACCTTGGAGTCACAGGACATAGCCAAATAGCCCGTCACACTCGAGCAGACCGCGCGCGCTTCCAACGCGGCAATGGGATCCCAGGTGCAGTTGCTGGAGCTGCATGCGTACTGCGGTATGGACCACGGCCTGGACTGGTCGTTATTAAGGAGAGAATTGTACACATTTGCCTTGAGCACCGGGTCGACCCAAACCAAAGCGGCATGAGCCGTCGGTGGCCCAACTGTATCGTACGACGAGGCGTTGGCCAGGAGTGCTTGTTGGGACGCATCCTCCACCATATTGGGATAATAGTGGATGAGATTCTGTGTGAAGGGGTCAAAGCCCAGAGCCAGTATCACTGCAAGACCGCCCCAGATGGCAAAATGCCTGCACCTCAGCGTCCAAATCAGTTCTGCACTCCCGTAGAATCCCCGGCTGGCGGAATCAAACGTCCTCAAGTTCAACATGGGCTGTGTCTTTTGCGCGAACCACACCCACTTTAGCTGTCCGAGAGCCTCGCTGACAGCGAAGATAATGCAAGCCTTAGAGATGGTGCTTAGCCAGGGAATGACCGAGTTTAGCGAGATGTGCTCCCATGCTGGTTGTGGCTTTCCATCAAACTTGGCCAAGACGACGACCAAGGTAATGAGCGTCGCAGCAGATAGAATAGCGGCTAGAATTTCCCATACAAACCAGTCTGAAAGTCCAGCCCATGTTGACTTCCTTTTGTCTCCCCGTTCGTCTTTTTCGTCGACCACGGCTAATGATCCGCCTTGGGTCGAATTCGGAGCTTCGAGGCGACTCCTCTGTGAAAGTGTCTCCAGGGTCGAGTCGTCGTCCGCAACTCGTCTTCGCCGATCAGTCGGTTCACCGGGGCCGACATTTTGAGCAGGACAGTGAGAGCGTTGACCCTCCTCGGGTGGCTCTGTCCGCTGTTGGATCATTTTGATACTATGAATCTATCCACATATCAATGTTCCCTGACTCGTGCAGAGGCCCTCGTTTTAAGCCGCAGGGACCGCGAGTCTTAATAAGTGATTCAGGACTGGTAACAGCCTTGCGAAGAGCCGGTTTAACCCTTTGACTGCTGATCAGTACTTCAGCCCCCATGCCGAGGCGGTGTATGGATCTAAACACGGCCTACAGATGCACTGTGACGATCTAGGAGGGCTAAGCTAGCTAGCTTGTATGAATATGCACTTTTCAAACGCCTTAGCCTTGAGCCGGTTTCATTCCTCCCCGTGGACCGTGGACCTGTTGGACAAAGAATGAAAACCTTCGAAATACACAGGCTGCGAAACTCTTCTCTAGCGAATTTCCATTTTCTCCACCTCTTTGAATACTGTCATCTGAATTGATCGTATTAATATCCTTAGACACTTACTGTTGTTCCCTGTGGAGCCTGTGCTGCCCGTTGTCTCCGTTCATTCCGTCTAAATCTATCTATGGCTGGTCGAGTGCATTGAATTGACGTCTTCAACGGAGTTCCGCCCATGCCTTGGAAGGAGTTACAAAAGCAGAGAAAATCTAGTGTCTAGCTGGCTTTGGTGCAAATTCAACTTGATTACAAACCTAATTAGGCCCACTTGCCTATCAACGCCATAATTCCAGCTCCCAGGAGTGTACATCCCAGCATATACAGGATCTGTCCCCGTCGCTTTGTCCGACACGGATCAAACAAAAAGTCTCGCGCGAGCAGCTCCACCAACCCACTGTATATGAGAATCCCCGCCGATATAGCGTCTAGCACCCCCTGCACGATCAGGGCCGCCTTCGAGCCTGGGTTATACGAAGTGCGCACGCCGAGCCCGATGGCAATGGCAACCGGCGTGGTGAGTCCGTACGCCAGACAGAGAACCCAAGGCAGCCAGCGGCGTTTGCCGAAATGGAGCGCCGACATGCGAGCTCCGATCCCCAACCCCTCAAAGGACTGGTGGAAGACTAGCACAGGGTAAAGCGTTGCGAATTCGTCGCCCGCCACGCCGAGGTTGAGACCGATGATGACGGAGTGGAAGATGATGCCGAACTCGAGGATCAGGAACGCGGCGATATCCTGGCGGAAGGCCCGTTCGGAGGTCACGGAGACTTCGTCTGCGTGGGGGTAGAGATCCTTGCTTCCTGCTGGGGATGGTATCTCCGTCGCAGTAAGCCTGTCTGATGATTCGTACGGACTGGAGCATGCTGGCTGGGTGATGAACGCTGCGGTGGCATTTGTCCTTCGCTGCACATTGTACTTCCACTCGACGTAAACCTCGGCGCCGACATCCATCAGACAGATCAGTATGACGGATGAGAGGACAATCGCCGCGCACCAGGAGTACTCGCCCCAGGAGCCGGACATGCCGATACATGTCCCTGGTCCTATGCTCTGGTAGGCGGGGTCCAGCAGGTGGATGAAAGCCGTAGCCACGATGACCCCTGTCCCAAAGTATCGCGCAAACAGATACACATGATGGGGAATACGCCACCGGGGGAGTCGCTGAGCAACCACGGGGAAGAGCGTAAATGCAGTAGACGTGATAAAAATGACAAAGATGGAGGATATGCGCGTGCCTAGGTGGCCGTTGTACTCATTTTCCGACAACGAGAGGTAGCAGATGACATCCTCTTTGCTGGCGGTGTTGAGGTCAACGTTGGAGGGGTTGAAGATGGACATTGTGTTTAATCATTTAGCATCAATGTGCTGAAACGTTTCTCCTTTATACGGCACTCTGGGTACCTTGAGGTCGCACTGATTCAATCTACCTGCCAAGGTCCTTCACATGGTCAACGAGACGCGGTGGATGGTCTATTTCTAAGTAGATACAACGTTGTCAGCTGAGTCTAGCTCTTGTGGGCGAGTCGAGAAAGGATGGAGTGTCATCCCTGGTGTTATCCTGTCTTCATGTTTGGGAGGCCGGAGACAGCAGTAGGGATGAGGCCATCCGAGTGAGGAACCGAGGACCTTGTTAGATCCAGTACAAATAATGGAAACATCATACCTGCTATAGGACCAATCGACAGCCAAGTATCGGTTTTATTCTACCTTTCTCGGACACATATTTTTTAGTTGGTGGTCACTTATGCAGTTCATGCACGTCTAGCAGCTTGAATAGGCTTCCGAGACAACTGGGCGCCATCTAAGGGAGCTGATCTCGTTCAGCGTCGTCATCAGATCATCCCGACTCTCAGTTGTCGACTGTGTCATTCTTTGTCATGTTCATCTTCGGTACTGCTGGACAGTCTACGTTTCTCACCTACTTCTGTCTTCTTTTCGTTCCTAAAGCTATGAGATGGCCCTGCTTCGCTGTCTTTATGCAGTCACAGCGCTGCTCGTCGCGACAGCTTGCGCTCAAGCGTCACCGGCACCGTGTTTGGTTTCGCCAGCGCCACCACCGACGGCGGCGAGACGACGACACCCGCTGCATCCAGCGACATTGCCGAGCTTACCATTCACTGGAAACTACATCCACCACGCCTCTGGCCGCTCGTCTAAGCTGGAGTTCAACAACTACTGGCACGTGTATAACAACTACGGTACAACAACACCAGCCACGCAATTCGATGTGAGCAGACGCACAAACGCTCTCATCGAGGGCAACGTCTTCGATAGTGTTGACGTTCCGTTGCAGGACAGCAGCGCTGGCGCTATCTTCGCGATTGAGTCCAGCGACCAGTCCACCTGCCGCTCTGCCATGGGTCAGACCTGTGTGGGATGCTATTCCCGGCGCGTGAAAGACATCTGAATGCGAAAATATGGCGTTGAACGTCGTTTGGACTTGTCTCCTCCTGCTCGCATCTGTATGGGTGAATGTTAAGCAATACAGTGTGATCAAACGATAGTCGCAGTCCAGTATCCGGGGCAATCGATCTGAATATCAGTGCTGGCAAATCTGTCAATGGGCAGGTGTTGAACCCGTGACTGTCCCTGTTTATTGCCTGCTGTCATTCCTGATTCTTGCATCCCCCACAATCATTCAAGACACGAGCAGATTGTCATCCATAACACGGCGCTAGAAGCTTCTGGCCTGTTGCCTATTGTCCATACGGCAAGAACACCATTGAGACTCATCAGGAAGTGCCAAAGATGCCATGTCGCCCAGAACTTGCTCCACAGCTCTATGAGACACTGCCATAACCAATATCGAGTCGAATTTGTACGGCAATATGATGTACCTGACACCATTGTTCGAGCCACAGTCGACTGTTCAGGCTCTGCATACCAGTCTTTCATTCCAGAGCGGACGACTGAGTGTGACCTATCAAACTGGTCGATTGCCGGCGATCGCCTCCCGCAGACGCAGGTGGACGGCAACTTCGGCAAGCGATGAACTCGCCAAAAGTACGACTTGGGAGGCACCTGACCATCATTGGAAGTCGTCGATCATGATGACAACAAGTTGGAGTCATCATACGACATGCACGGATGTTAGGTTAACTGACAGCCAGCGGCTACAGCCGCGGAGATGTTGGCGACTATGAATAAAAGTACATACACCAATCTCCAATCACAAACTGATTGAGATAAATGCTGACAAATGCAGTCTTGGATATCGTCAAAGGATTTAACCGAAAGGGAAATGCCATGGTCGATCCCTGCATGTTGCCTGATACTGACAACGCCATTATCTTAGCTAGTAGTTCGTGTCTGATGGATGAGGAACGGGGATGCATCTCGACCACAAATGGATTGCCCTTTTCTTTCCTTCGAATCCTTCCAACTAGCCGATCGTATGATTGGTCTTTGCTAACCTTATCCGTGGCGTGGCCTCTGGATTAAGATTTCCGCACGTCACCAGAAGAACGAACCGGCGCCACTTCTAATGAGCACCATCAGTCATCTGCCAGACTCGACCTGCAACTCCTCGGGCATGTGAATGTGAATTGTCATCCACCCTTCCTCAACTGGAGTACCTCCGTATTGTCATTCTTGACCAAGGTTTGAAATCGATTTGAATCTGAGAGACATAATCATATAATGATATAAGGTTACAATACGAAAGTGGCTGGCAATAAGCCAGAGGAAGCTCCCAACCGGCGGCAGGATTTGACCCCGATATTAGTGACCTTTGGGAGTCTCCACCGCGATCCACAATAATAATAGCCTTGTCTAATACTCACCCCGCTACTCCGTACAGCCCCCGTGCTCCTGGAGACTGAGTATGGATACCTCGAGTCAGTCAAGCTTGGTCAACTCCGTCATCCAGCAATGAGCGAATCTCAAAGCGACCAGCAGAAGGATGTGCCCGCTTCAGCGGCGACAACCAAGGCGGGCGGACGAAAGAAGACCCGACCCACCTATTCATGCCTCAACTGTCACAAACGGAAAGTCAAGGTATCGTAGACTTGCACTCCGGCGAAGAATTCAGCTGATCTATCTTCAGTGCGACAGGGTAAAGCCATGCGGTGCCTGTTGTCTTCGAGGGACTCCGTCGGAGTGTGAATACGGCACCAGCAAGCGAGATCGCCACTTCATCCAGCAGTCGGTTCTGATCGAGAATCTGATGCAAACATGTGAGGATCTGAAGAAGAAGCTGGCCGAAGCTCGAGCGCTGGCCAATCTTCCGCCGATCAAGCACGAGGATCCATTCTCAGTCTCGTCGCCACATGATCTCGAGAGGACGATGGACGCGGACGAAGAGTCGCAAGACCCGGAGCCTCAAGATTCCTCGTTGATCAAAAACTCGGCCGATCCATTAGGTGGATTAGACTCTGAGAATACCAATATACCATGGAAAACAGATCAGTCGTCTCGGTCGCTCTTCGAAGACAAACGGATCCTGACCGACCCCGCGGTTGCTAGTTCGTTCGTGGAACTCTTCGTCGAGCGACTCATTGACAATTTCAGCCCGCAGCCGGCCTCCATCTACGGCGGCACCATTGCTCTGCGCGAGGCATCTGGCATGCGAGTTCTGTCGCCTATGCTGTGTACGGCATTCGAGGCTGCCTCCCTGACGTTCGCCGGTCGACGAGAACAGATGCCCGAGGTGGAAGCTGCAGGACATGCTCGCTACGTCCGGGTGCTCCGGCAACTGCAGAACGCCCTAAACGATCCCAAACAGAACAAGTCGACGGAAGTGATGGTTGTTGTGTTGTTGTTCACCATAATCGAGGTACGTTGCGTTTCCGTGTCGCAACGACACCGACTCTACTGACAGTTGCAGGCCTTCAAACAAAGCTCCAAACACTCCTTGTTGAAGCATCAACTCGGCGGACTGCAATTGCTGCAAGCGCGGACGCCATACCGACACCGTTACGGGATCGATCGGTCGCTGTACGTCGATCTCCGCTTATACTGGGTAGGTATTCACTCTCAATTCAGGACCGCGCTGACCGGCCAGGTTACCGCTGCGCTCGTCCAACGCAAACCCACCTTCCTCGCGAGCAAGGAGTGGCTTACGGTGCCATGGCCAGGAGATGCGCCGTCCAAAGATATCCTCCACCGACTGCTGGACATCGCGGTGGACATCCCCGCGTATCTCGGGCAGATCGACGACTTCGCCGCGGCCCTCCGGTCCGGGACCGCGACCTCGACTGACCTCGTCGCGCAGCAGACCGCCATCTGGGACCGCGCGACGGAACTACAGTCACGCCTGAACCTGTGGAAGAGCATGTTCGCCGACACCTATCCCCCGGGGCCAGCATGGGAGGAGCCCGCACCTGATCCAGCGACCAAGCCCGAATCCGAAATCGAAATCGAAACCACGCCCAGCTTCCCGACATTCATGTGCCGGGACCCGGCAACAATGGACCTGGTGCCGGCCAAGCTGCTCGTCTACCCGGACCTGCTGTCCGCAACCTGCATGACCTACTACTGGGCGCTGCATCTGATCGTCTCGACGACGGACAGCGGGCTGGGGAGCGTGCTGGGGCTGCAGGAGCGGTACCAGTATGCGTGCAACATCTGCCGCAGCATGAAGTACTACGTCGAGACTATCCCGGGGTGCTTGGTGTCGCGGACGATGTTTGTGCTGCGGACGGCGTTTGATGCGTTTGCGGACGGGATGGTTGAGAAGGAGTTTGTCACGGAGGTGTTTCGGCATATCGCGGACAAGTTCAATTTTGCGGTTTTTGCGAACCAGTGCGCGTCGTCTTCGGTTAGGGGGTAGCTCATATCTCTCGTAACAGCTTGTCATCTACCGGTAGGCATTAGATATCATCATTCATCATTCATCATTTCCTATTTACATGATATATGTATGTACTGTTGATTATTATATACAAGTAGCACTGTCGTATTTGCTCTGCGACGCCTGGTGCGTTTGTAGCACTCTCAATGCGTGTCACATCATTGCTCGATCTCTCTCATCCCATCGAGAGATGAGCATCTGAGCGGAGAGAGTCGGCGTCGCGGCGCCGTCGGAATCAAATTCAGCGGACCTGGCCGAGGTCGGCACGGCAGGGGCAATCTTGCCTGTTTCCCCTCAGAAGGGGTGATAGATCTCGAAAGGAGTAGCAGTAACAGCGAGTGCAGCATTCTTTGACCAGGTACTCACACCGGCGCCGGCATCTGGATAAACGCCTCTTTGCTGAATTCCATCGAGATGGGGTCTCTATCAGCATGGCCGTAGCTGTACGCGTGGTCGTGCTGGCCATGTCCATATCCGAATTCCATTGCAGACGCAGATGCAGACACCGAATGTGAATCAATGGTGAATCCACCCGTCGGATCAACAGGCAGCCAATTCGCAGTGAAGCGGGTACTGCCGTCGGGCATTTCGAGGGGCGTTAGCGCGTCTGCCTCGTCTTCCTCGCGGTGAGTAGTATTATTTACCCGGTGGGGGTGAGGGTGCGTGTAATGGTGATGAGGAGGAGGAGGAGAATGATGCACGTGGCGGGGCGGGCGGGGGACTGATTGGGAGGAGTCGAGCCTATCGGGCAATTTGTAGAAATGCGCGGGATCCAGATCGCGGTCGCAGTCCCAGTCATAGTCTTCGTCGCTTTCCTTACTTGTTGTGCTGGGGGTGCGGGGGGTGCAGGGGTCTAGTGATGGAGTTGACGAGTTCTGGTTTGACGACGACGAAGAAAACGACGAGGATGAAGGGGAGGCGAGGCCGGATGGAGTCATGAACAACGCTCGTTCGGCTGCATTTTGGGATGTGGAGCGGAGGAGGGCGAGACCGTCGGGAGTCTTTTTGCCGTGGCCGAGAGTGAGATCAGGGAATGGAGGTCTGTATCGTAGTTCAGTTAGTCAGGTTGCTCTACAGGACAGAAAAGAGAAGACTTACACTGAAATGAACTCCATGCCCTGTGCAAACATCTCCATCTCCATGCCCATGTCCATTCCCATTCCCATCTCAATTGGCGGTGTCTGCATAAACCCCGTTGCTGGTGCTGCCTTTGCCGAAGTTTGCCCGTAAGGCAGACAATTATCCGAGCTGAGCAACGCAAAGTCGTGAGACGGAAACTCAAAGGCAAGACTCATGGTCTCCCCAGTGTGCAGTTCCTGTTGCAGAGGCGATGCTTGTCCGACAGCATCGAGGAATTGCCAACTTGTGTAGTCGTAGAGGAGGTCGGTCATGTTGTCTGGATCTGGTGTATAGTTCGTACGTCGACTGTCCGAGTAGCTCACAGCATCCCAAGCAGTAGCAGTGCAATAGCAGTAGAAGTAACTGTTATCCTTCTACTGGTGTAGTATATAGTCCAGACTCGTCAACATATACAATTCAGCAGCAGCAGTATCCTAGAAGAACAAGACGGGGACCGCGCCCTTAATAAAGCCTGAACTGAACCCATCAACCAGCAAAAACCATCACCAAGCCAAGGAGTATAGATACTCCGTAGCTGGCTCAAAGGATCAATTATGGGGTCTGGGGAAGCTCGCCAAAATCCATCCAGGCACAATAATCGGCAGCAGGATTGCCCAACTCGGCAAAATAAATCGAAGCGAGTGCACTTTATCGACAGACTCGACACGGAGCTGTCAAGCTCGACGACCCAATAACCATCGCGCTTCTCCTGGGAATAAAGCCGTAGGATCATCACGTTGCCATGTGCGTCGCGCAGGATCAATTAACCGAGCTGCTTCCCCGGATTTCGAACACGGCCGAACGGCTAGAACAGAGTCAATCAGGCAATCATGGGCCGACTAGAAAGTCAAACAGACCATCTTGGCCCGGTCTCGGGTCTCGTGCCTCGTAGCCCTTGCTCCTGGGCTGGCGCACTAGCACCAACTGGTCAGCTTCTCCGCATCGTCGGTTAATTGAGTCATTCGGTTGATTCTTTTACCCGACGCTCATCAGCTGCTCGGTCCGGGGGTGGCGAGTAGCCGAGTATCTGGGGTAACCTCAATGTCATATTCAACCGTGACAGGCTCTGAATTTTCCGAGATTTAGTTACTGCATGAGTATTCTCTAGCCTGCGGGACAGGAGGAGATGCTATGACTTGCCCAGACTCATCAATTCAACGAAGAATTTATCCTAGTAGTGATGTGAGAAGTTTGCCATGTTGAGTGTACGGGTAAACTGCCCAGACTCATCAGTTCAAGCAAGAATTATCCTAGCAGTGATGTGAGAAGTTTACTATGTTGAGTAGTATGAATGAACTTGATATATACATTGTATATTCAATTACAGAGTATACTGCTATGCATTAGGCATAGATTGAAGTACATACACCGCAAGTACCGACGGCAGTTCGTTCGAACCAACGGCGAATATCTACTAACGAACTGACTCGCCAGTAAACGAGTGGAGTCTGTTACCCCTGTCCCTGCATCGGTTTCAAGATGCTAGGGCCAAGGCAGTAACTCACTGCTGATCATGAACTGCCACGGCGAACCTCCGGCAATCCTCCGGGCAATCCTCCGTAGGTCCCTCCACGATAGTGGAGTCCGGGGAGCTCGTGCTAAACTTAGAGTGCTAACCCGGTACCATTCCTCGTCCACCGGTACAGTGCCAGAACAGCCTTGCGTCGGTGCCGGATCTCGCTGTGGTTCACAGGACGTCCCCGTGCCTGCGCAACCGCACTCCGCATCACTTGGCGGAAATTCCGCTGGTATTCCGTGTTGAGGGTGACGACGCAGGATTCCGTCGCGCGGATCATCACCTCGCACGCGTTGAGGATCCCCTCTCCCGCCTCTTTTTGTAGTCGCTCCACAATCAGCAGGAGGAGGAAACTGCCTTGCAGGAGCTGAATGCCAAAGAAATAGGGCATGAAGCTGATGTCCGGGTCGTAGCGGAGAATCTGGTTGACCGAATCGGCCGCATCCAACGCATGCGAGATGGTAGTGGCAAAGGTGGGGGACGAGGTCCAAAAGTCCTTGTCCTCGATGAGCGAGACGGGATCCCACTTGCCGACAAGTAGAATGTGCAATACATGCACCAGATATGACGCGTACGCGATGACTGTCTGAGTATGCCACGAGAACGCTTGAGAGAGAGAGGGTTCAACAGGATGATCGGGTGTGGAGGGACGAAAGGTGGCAGAGAGCGGCGCTTCGGGGACCGCCGTAGTCGGTGCAAAAGTGGTCAGGCTCGCCTTGTAAATCTCGAGCTGCCGCAGCACCTCGCTGAGATGGGCGTCCCAGCCGTCCTTCCCATGTAGTCGGGATCCAAGCATGGGGTGATTTCGTGCCTGGTTAAGATCGATCAGTTCGCCTGTGATGGTCATCAGCGGTAGAAAGAAGCCAAATATCGAATGATCATGGCAGATAAAGTCAGGGAAAACCCGGCGCTTGTTCTTGTCTCCCGAGATGGGGCAATGGGGTCCGTCCGGCTTGGGGCTGTTGCTGTGCACGTTGCCGGCCTGCCACGAACCCTCGTCCAGCGGTAGCAGCAGGTCTTCGCTCTCGGCATCCAGTAATGCCAGCGGGCGATTGTAGCACAGGGCCAGGTGGCGATCCATAATGTACAGCAGCCACCAGGTTCGCCGACGTTCCTCCCGGTGCTCTTCGGTGATAGTTGCATGGGGATCGTGGCTACGGTCGCAAACGCAGTTCAAGCTGGGTCGTGTGGGATTTGAGTAATCGAAGAACGCGCCAGTGTCGACGCCACTCCAGCCGGGCAGGGAGTAGTCAAATGCTGGGCTCGAACCTTCGGTCTGGCCGTTCGCATTGGGTATCACTTCGATTTCTTGGTTGAGTTTCAATTCTCTGGCAAGGGTGAAAGCAGCATGCCACCTGGACTAGTCAGTCTTCAGACTCTGTCGGAAAAAGATGACAAACAAACCATCGCATGCTAGCGGCCTTTTGTTCACTAGAAGAGATTATCGATGCAACATGGATATAGGTAATCACATCATCCAAGGAACCCGCAGGCCCGACGAGACCGCGATCATCGCCGCTCGATTCAAACGGATGGTGCACGGTGGTGGGAGGACAGTCCGGAGCAACCCCATTGAATGTCGGATCATTCGCGTTCGCACCCCCTTGCTCCTTAAACGACACGTGAATCAACGGTCGGAGTAATCGGATGGTCAACGCGCACAAGAATTGACAAATCTTCTTGCGTTGAGGCGGGGAAATGGAGAGCGCAAACGCGCGATCGTCCAGGGCAGCAACCCAGAGCATGCTTGCCAGGAGAGCCGGGCTACTGGGCCGGGGGTTCTCCCGGCTCAGGAATGAGGCCTTGCGAAGGACATAACAATGGATGTGGTGGCAGACGGGATGCATGTGCGTGGAAAAGGCACTCGTAAAGTATAACTCGAGAAGGTCAAAAACCAGCCTCCGTGGTAGATTCGTCTCGAGAAACGGCATGAGCGGCTGTAATACGGGATATTTCAGGGTCGTAGACGAAATACTGGAAGTCCGAGCCGCACCGGCAGGCTTGGAGCCCTGGACAGTCGGAGCGCTGTACCCGGCCAGGTCCACGCCGTTCCAGATGTCCAGCACCCGTGGCAGCGGACCGTCCCCCCAGGCCCCTCCCCCCAGTACTTCATATGAGTCCGGGGACACATGAGCCGCGGACAGCCATTCTTCCGTCACATTCCCTGTCGGTCCCGGTCTTTGCGCCGGTAAGGATGGATCCGCTTGGGAGCGTCGGTCGTCTATGCTATGCGCGGAGACGGTCATCTCGTTGGTCGCCGGCGACCGATGCTGGGAAGTCGTGGTCGGCGAGGCATGGTTCGGCGCTGGTGTTGGCGCCGTATCTGTTGGCACTGGCGCTGACACCGGCGCTGGCACTGGAGGCTGCCCATTAGCGGCCTTGGACAGCTTTTCCATCGACCCGCCGTTGGTGACTGCTGCCGTCTGTTTCGACCGTGCAATCCGCCCTCGTTTCCGTCTTTCGCGCGTAAATTCGCAATGGATCTCACTGCGAAGACAGCGCGAACAGGGAAATGCCCGGTCGCATCGCACACGGCGCGAATGGCATGAGTCGCAGGCGATACGATTTCTCCTCCATCGACGCTTTGCGGTGTTGGACGAATCTTCCAGCGTTCCTGCGGTGTTTGTGCTAGTAGGCTGTGCATCCCCCGACTGGGCAGGATCCATTTCAGGCCGACATTGAGAGAATAACGTGTGTGGGGATAGGTTTGTCTAAGAAAAAGAAAAAAGTCAAGGAGTTAGCGGTGGGTCAAATTGGCCGCGCCAGGAGATTTGCGGAGATGATACCGAGGCACAAGAAAGCGTGCAGCGAGAGCTTCAAATCCCTCTTGTCAACAGAAGAGGTTCATGAGAATTGACCTTGGTGACGAGAACGATCCATAGCCAGAAATTCACGATGCGAAGGATTCGTTGGAGAGAATTGAAGCTGGACAGAGAGGCTGCGGCCCCGTGTAGGAACTAGGAACTTGGGAAGACCGCCGACCCGATCGCGGGGAAGACACCCAAGAGAGAGAGCAACTCCGCATCGAACCACCGGCTGACCTCTTTTTTTTTTACCCTGACATTCTCGGCAAGGGGGGTCCAAAGTGGAGAAACCATCAGACCATGGTCAGTTCATTGAGTAGATGAACGGATACTCAGAGCGAGTTTGCAGTTCTTTACTGCTGGCGCGTGGTTGATGGCATCGAGATACCTGCAGCCTGTCATCTAAAGACTCCTTTCTCATCCAGCTCAATAACATTCGTCCCTCGGTACTGCGACAACTGCCTCTTCTGCCAGGATCAGAGTGGATCCTACAGGGAAGCAGTCGGTAGATAGTTTGTACCAACTACTAATTAACTCGTCCATGACACATGTAATTATGCTTTGTGCCGTCTATCCAATGGATGGACATCAAGTGAAACTGCGAAACTTCAATTCAGGATGCCCCGAAGTTCCTCCGCTCTCTCTCAGGGCCACACGGATATTATTGGCACTCGGTGAATGCTCCTGAGATCGGTACTGATCTTGCATACCCTGCGCAAAATCGCTGTCCGTACCACCTGGGGAAAGATGCGACCGTCGATAATAAGTCCATGATCAGGAACTCCTTGGATATTCCCCGGTTATTACAGGTGGAAAATCTCCTCGGCTGCATAAATTCGACTCGAGGCACTCGTCGGAAACGACAACTACACATTTAGATACTAATCCATTTCATAATCATACTAATAGGAAAAAGCTTCTTCTAACCCGCCGTCATGGTCATTCGCACACGGCTGTTTATACCGACGCAATGCCAGGTCTCTGCTCTTGGAGTGATCCACCATTGGGCGTGGATACCCTTTCTCCACTCCTCATGCGTACAGCCCCTTTGATATCACKCAGCTCAGGCACCCATCTGGATCGAACCGTTCGCTCCGACGGAGTGGATTGACGATTCGAAAGTACGGCTGGGGATCCACACCTGTACTCAACCCGAATCCCCACCCGCCATGGTTGGACGCAAAGTCCCCATCGATGAGATTCTCCATGAAGTATCGCTCGCCACAGCGCCAGTCGATGAGCAGATCCTTTGAGAAAAAGGAGGCAACCATACGCGTCCGGTTGTGCATCCATTTGTCATGTTTCACCTGTCGCATGGCGGCGTCCACTATGGGGAAGCCGGTTTTCCCTTCACACCACGCGTTGAGCTTGTCCTCATCGTACTCCCATTCCAGGTTGGTAAATTCAGGTTTAAGCATTTGTTCATACTGCTCATGTTAGGTACATTGCGAAAAGAGATGAACTGAAGTGAATGGCCAATGCACGGGACATGTTTGTAAAACTCTCGCCAGACCACCTCACTGATCCAGTGGACCAGACCAGGGTCACCAGCTGCAGTAAACCCTTGTTGGCTCTGTGCGCGATTGCCGTTCTCGCGCTGAGCAAGCCAGATGCGAAGTAGGGACTCAGGATTGAGGTCGTCTGTCCACACACCATATTCCGTGCCTCCGCATAGTCCTTCACCTTCTCTTCCAAGAATGCCTCCAACCGACGCAGCGCCTCATGTTCGCCTGCTGGATATAATTGACCTAGGCGCTTCTTCTCCTCCAACAGCTGCTTGCTCTGGTGCCCCTGGAACCTCGCTGTCAAATAACTCCTTAGAATATTCCGCTCGTCACCCGGGTTCGATCCCGGCTCCTCCGATAGTTCCAGACAGTCACGATTCTCATTCGGATAGGCGAGCCACGTGCGGTACCAGGGACTATACACTGCGTACTGTTTGCCTTGCTGACTGGTCACCTGTCCAGGGGGAACGGCGCATATATCGTGGGCGATCTCGAGCTTGATTCCGTTCTTTGCGCACAGCCTCACCAGCTTCGCCTCACGTCGCAACTCGTCAACCTCATATTCCAAGTTTGCGTAGAGATGGTTTGCTCCCCATTGCTGACACAGATCCACAATCCTCTGAGGTATGCTTTTGCGAATTTCCTGCGTCTCCTGTACAAGGGGATATCCAGCTCGCTCAAATCGCGCTTTAATTGATGCAGAGTACGCAGGATCAGATCTACCGGCGCCGGACTCAACAGATGAGCCTTCAAATCCTGGGGCGACAGAATATACAACCCGATCAGCGGGATATTGTGTTCCTTGGCGGTTTGATATGCCATCTGCAACGCGCGATTATCATGTAGTCGGAGATCGGACTTGAACCAGTGCATCCCTGCATTATTGGCCCTGATGCCCCTACGCTGGTCGGCCATCTCCTCGTAGGCCCGCTGCAGTCCACGGTTCCATCATTGTAGGCCTGGTAACGCTCGTTGCTCATTTCCGGCGGATAGAATTCTCGCAACACGATACCAAAGTCCTCGGACTGTTGCGCATTGGGATGCGGACGCGACAGGTCCAGCTTCCTGCGTTTGCTGGTTTGTGTCGTGCCATTGCTGCTTGTGCTTGCGGTCTTGCGTTTCTGGGGGTCCATTCTTTCGCGCGACTAGAGACAGAAGTTACTCGTGTTCCTTTAATACTTTCAATCCCTTGTGATGCGATCATTCCATCAAGTGTTGATTGGACTGGCCACGATCGATCTGACCCGATCGAGCAGCTCCGATCGCACAATCCAATCTGACGTCAGATCCATGGTTTGTATGAAAGTGTTCCTAAGTGTTTTGTGTAGGTTCCAAATCCACGCCCTCACTCTGCAGACCCTTGGGTTACATTCGGTCTTCCTGCATAGTTGGTGAGGGATGACCTCATTCCTACAGTCATTGTTCCACTCTCGTCTTGTCAGCATATATCATTAATTTTAATACAGAGAGTAACATATGAGTGTACTTTTTATTGGAGATGTAAAATAGATTTGGTCTATCACTGTGCTAACATTATCTTGCGTCTATGCCTATATCCCTACTAGATATACCTGGAATTATATATAACCTATTCGGCTATTACCTCCATTGTCCCCATGGATTACTTTATGGAGACAAAGGAGTCTATGTTTGTCTTGGAGATCCAGACCCTGTAAGGACATATCACATATCTGTCTGTTCCAGTTGATAGATCAACTTATACAACTGGCCAGTTTACGAGTTCATCGCATGCCCCTTGCGGAATTAATTTCTATAGGAACAGCGAGGGAGGGTCGGATATGGAGGTTTCTATGACTTCATCACTTCCACTGCCAAGTCTGTCCTCCGGATGATCTTCGTCCTATATCGCCCGTTTCATTCAGGGTTTCGCGGAGTTGCCTTCTTAAGGATCAAACTTGCTTGAGGTCAATATTCGTTTGCCCAAGGGGGAAAAGAGCCGAATACAGATTAGATTCCCAATTTTCAGCCAGAGCTGTCCTTGGTTGCGCAGATCCATTGCCCTTGCGTCCTCCTATCATGCAGCACTGCCTCCCATATAAAGTTGCAAGACACCCACCGAACTCGGTTTCCTTGTCGAATCTGGTCTTGCCTGCGGAAGCATTTTCGGCGTAGAAGGGAAGTCAAATACCCCGTGGGGGTGCTTGCATTTTCTCTACTCCGTTTCCTTGACAAAGTCGATCTACCGGCTGAGGGAAAAGGCACAGAATGGACGAAACAGTGACCTGTCATATAAGAGCCATCAGTATCGCCAGCGTCGGCTTGTCGTCCTGAGCATCTATCCGTCCCCTGAATTGACCATATCTAACAAGACAGGCACCCAACATGGGTGCCTCGTCCCAATGGCATCCCCTCCAACATCAACCACAACCGCATCCTCACACAACTTCCCCGACGGCTCCATCCTGCAGAATATCCACATCACTCAGTCGCAGAAATATGTGTTCACGGCTTTTGCTGGCGTGGTCTGGTACAACGCAATCGAGCTCATCGTCCTCTGCCTGACCACCTTCAAACGCTACCGCGGCTGCTATTTCTGGTCCCTCTTCCTCGCCTCCATCAGCCTCATCCCGCACGTCGTCGGCTACTTTTTCTTCTTCTTCCTCTCCACAACCGTCAGCCCCTATGTCGCCGTCTCCCTCATCATCCCGAGCTGGTGTACCATGGTAACCGGCCACTCGCTCATCCTCTGGTCACGCCTGCACCTCGTCCTCCAGAAACCAAAGATCCTCCGCGCCATTCTAGCCATGATCATCGTCGACGCCATCACCATGCAAGTCCCCATCACCGTGTTGCTCTTCGGCGCCGTCTCTGCACACGCGGCGCGCTTCACCGCAGGCTACGACATAATGGAGCGGATCCAGCTGATCGTCTTCGCGCTGCAAGAGATCATCATCTCAAGCTTCTACGTTCTCGAGACAGTCAAGATGCTCCGCCTGCGGCCGCCGGAAGCGCGGCACCGACAGATCCTGACGCAGCTCCTCGTGATCAATATCGTGATTCTGGTGCTGGACATTGCTGTCGTCGGGACCGAGTATGCGGGCTACTATGCCGTGCAGGTGATGTTCAAGCCCGTGGCATACAGCGTCAAGTTCAAGCTCGAGTATGCCATTCTCGGGCGGTTGATCCAGATCGCCAAGGGGGGTTACGTCGAGCGCGAGCAGCTCTCGTCGAGTGTGCAAGGCTTTCACTCTGATCCGTCGAAGCGGATAGCCACGTTGGGGAGCGCGAGTCTGAGCCAGACTGCCCCGCGATCAAGTCCCGAGAGTGCAGGAACGGGTATGTCGTATGTCGGCGACGAAGATACATATGCCTCGATGAGGTTTCATGAGAGGCGGGCGCTTTGACCGGACTACCTAGGTAGATTGTGGACTGTAATATAGCTGTACTAGAGCAATTTGTCTAATGATAAATATATGGTTTATTTTGCTGCGCAATGTAGGCCCTGACAGTATTCCTATAACCCGTCGAGCTAGTAAAGTAGCCATAGCTATAGTCGTATTATCCTTGGGCCAGATGAAAGGCATCAAACGTGAGGACCCGCGGGAAGCTCAGATATCAACTTTGGGGGTCTTTTAAGATGCTTGGTAATTCTGCAACTAAATTTGGGTCTAGCATTTGGTTACCAAGCAGGGAAAGTTGCAGTACCACGGCCCGGATTTAGGTTGGAATTAGCGCAATCATGGCGTCAGCTAACTCCGTCGAGGTAATACTCTGTACAAGTCCGAATATTTTCGGGAATCCAGAGAAAGCCGAAAAGAAGTGAAAGCGTATACCACGGGACGGATTGAACGGTACCTAACAACAACCTTTTTTTAAGATAAAGATCTACCGTAACTGTAGATCTAACTCCGTCGAGTCGACATGATACTCGTAAAAGTCCGAATATTATCGGAATCCAGAGAAAGCTGAAAACAATGAAAGCGTATACCACAGAACCGATCAGGGGTTACATCACCATGTTCTGAAGATATAAGATCAATCATAGATCCTCCTTCAAATCCTCAGTCGACCCGGTTAATGATCTATTCTTGGTAATTACTTCTCATCACAACGGACACCATGGCTACTCGCTACGAATCTGTCCACCAGGACCTCAACGGACCCGGCGATGCTCGTCCCACAGCACTTCAGATCATCGAAGATGAAAACCTCAAGGGAAAGTGGTCCGACAAGACCGTCTTGATTACCGGCTGCTCCTCGGGAATCGGAGTCGAAACAGCCAAAGCACTTTACGAAACTGGTGCTACAGTTTATGCCACCGCGCGGGACCTGAACAAGGCCAAGTCGGCCCTCGGCGCTATTCTTGACAGCGGCCGTGTCCACTTGCTTGAACTTGATCTCCAGTCTCTGGCTAGCGTTCGCGAGTGTGCAGAGACTTTCCTCGCGAAATCCAACCGTCTGAACGTCCTTGTCAACAATGCAGGTGTCATGGCTACCCCCGAAGGTCGGACTGCCGACGGATTTGAAACCCAATTCGGCACTAATCATCTCGCTCACTTTCTGCTGATCCAACTACTCCTTCCTGTTCTCGAGAGATCATCATCCACAGAATTTCAGTCGCGTGTGATTATCCTCTCGTCCGTCGCTCACCGCTATGGCGAGGTGAACTTCAAGAACCTCAACTTCGAGGGCGAATATGATGCCTGGAAGGCCTATGACCAGAGCAAGACGGCCAATCTCTGGACGTCCAACGAGCTCGAACGTCGCTTTGGGCCAAAGGGTGTGCACTCGCTGAGCGTGCACCCTGGTGCTATCATGACCGGTCTTCTGCAATACTTCTCGGACGAGGAGGTGAAAGGCTTGGGAGATGATCCGTATTTGGCGAAGGCGTTCAAGAGCCCCGCGCAGGGCGCAGCCACAACAGTGTGGGCTGCCACCGCAAAGGTATTCGAAGGCCAAGGAGGCAAGTACCTTGAGGATTGCCAGATTGCGAAGCCCCAGCCTCCCAATGCCGGTCAGTACGACCCAGGGCATGCAGCCTGGGCATATGATGAGAAGAAGGCAACGCTGTTGTGGGATAAGTCTTTGGAGCTTGTAAAACCATTTTTGTCTTGAAGGAGCAACAGCGGATGGCCCACATGTCTGCTTGAGGGCTGTCAAGTATGTATTCAAGCGTCTCCTTACATCTAATACTTGCGTTAGTTGTGCGAGGATATAGTATGAATTACCAGTGACCTCCTGTACAGCCAGAAACTGAGATATTATATAACTATCAATCATCCCAAGCAGGGTACACTGCAGTCGTGCGCGACCTGAAACATCTCAGAGACCAGGGGAATGACATGATGCAGCACAACTTACCAATGATGTTCTGCCCGGCAGTCCATTTTCACTGCTTTTGCTCGCTATATCTGAGTCCTGCTCTCAGCGCATGGGCCATTACCAACTCAGGCTTCACAGTCATAGGCTCCCGTCTCAGTGCTAATAGTAAAGTACTAATCAATCAACAATAATATTCAGCGTTGCTTAATGAAGTAGTAAAGAGCCATACACTCATTAGCTACAGTTGAACTAGAGAAGATTAGGGAAATGCGCACAAAGATGACCGTGCATATATTTGCCAATCGACTTGGGGATCGCCACGTCAGGCAAGCATCTGCACGGCCATCACACCGTACACAGCACCTTTTACTAAGAGATTGCTAGAAGCAAACCGGTACTAGACACCCGTTACAGCTGCTGGCATTCCCACATATCTTGTGACATAAGTAGAGATAACGTGGCATCTCAAGTGGGTGGCCCGCTGATACTGATATTTTATCTCTGATTAATCTGCCTTTCCGCAGTCACAGGCTCTCGAGCTTCTAATGGCAGGAAAGAAGAAGAAAAAAAATAAATCAGGGTATCCAAGACTATCTGCTGGTCCAGCTGTTGAACCTGTTGAACCTGTTGATACGGTTGTTGCAGGCGACGAGATTACCGCAAAAATGAAAGAGCTTGTCCTCAGGTGTGTGATCTAAATGGCTTTTCAACGTTTCTGTAATGAGTCGCTGACTCCTGTATTAGCCATTTCCTCAATCCAAAGTACAGTGATTTATCTATCATGTGTGGTGATGAAGTCTTCCCAGCTCACCAGAACATTGTCTGTCCCCAATCAACGTACTTTGAAATCGCCTGTGATGGTGGGTTTAAGGTATTTACCGAGTTTTTCCTACCACTACGACCGTTACTGACTGGATGGTGCATTGACAGGAAGGTAACGGAGAGATACAGCTCGACGATCGCGACCCTATGCTCGTCTGGAAGGTGCTTGAATTTTTGTACACAGGCGACTTTACCTATGAAGCAAGCGGCGACTTCAACGCAGAGAATGTTTCTGAGGATCTTCCCCAAACAGACCTAGCTACGGATCTCCAGGAAGATGCAGGGACAGAAGTAATCTCACACTCAGAGGGGAATACCAGCAGTGCAAACCCACGAACCGGCCAGGCCTTTTTCCATGCCCAAATGTACGCACAAGGTGCCTATTTTCAAATAAACGGGTTGAAAATCAGGGCAAAGGAGTACTTCGAGAAGTCCTTCAAGGAATTCCCAGACCGAGAGTCATTCACCTCTGCGGTGCTTGAGGTGTACGGCTCAACAGGAGGCTATGACCGAGGACTCAGGGACCTTGTCGTCCAGATGGCAACGGATAACCTTGTGCTTCTGAGGGCTAGCGAGAATCCCATATTGGACGGCGTCCTTTTGGAAGCGGTTCCCAACTTCATGTTGGACATTTGTCTTTCCGCCTTGGACAGGTGCGCTAAGTATCAGAGGGAATATAAGAGATGGGGTTACTACAATTAGCATGTATAGCAAATGGTTTCTTGGGGCAAGAGTGCAATTTCATAACTAAAATTGATAAATTATTATGTTTATATGAGAACTGTAGAGTCTCAGATTGGTTGCATACAGGCAACTGAAGCAATGCCTCACGCCCTCCCCCAGTCAAAATCAGAGGTTGACCGATGATACATACCGCTAGGCCATAAAAACCAATTGGCCTCTATGACACTGTATTGCTAGATAGCCAATATATACTGACGCGGGCTAGAAGCCGATTCAACCTATGACGTAGGTTTGGACGGTAAGAAATCGCTGGAGAGGTCTAACTAGGGGCCGCGGTGGACGCTTTAACGCTGCAGTAGATAGATCTTCGGCGGTGGGCAAATATTTGGCCGACAGGGTCACGTGGAATCGTCGACTGGACGGTCTATCAATTCTCCACACTGCCTGCTCCGACCCACACGCCACACCTCACCGGGTCAACCATGGAAGCAAGCAAGATTGTACCATTTCCGCTCATCAACCAAAACAGGCCACCTGAGCTCATGTGAGTTACATATTCAATGTTTACTTCCGAGACTGATCCCCCGCAGCGTCGTTGTCCTACCCGATTTTGGGAAAGACGGCCTTCCGACCGAGCAGTCGTGCGACTGGGTCCACTCCGTTATTCCCCAGGACGGCGCGACGGTTCAGATCCTTCGATTCCACTACCGCATTGACTTCAACAGTAAAACGTCGGTATGGCGCCAGCTCAGTGGGAAGGGGGAGGATTTGTTAAACATCCTATACCGCGAGGCATCTACATATGAAGTAAGCGATCAAGCTTGACATGTTTCCGTCGCTAATATCAGCTCTTCAAGGTATTCCAGAAACCGTCTGTATTTATCGGCCATGGTTTTGGAGGGATCATTATCAAAAGGGTACAATTCCCCTTGGAACACTCTCGATGCTGCTACTGATGAGCGTAGGCTGTGAGCATCCTCTCGGACCCGTCTTTGCCGCTTCGAAACAGAAAAGCTATCGATTTAATCGCTGGTATAATATTCTTTGGGACGCCGCATAAGAAAAAGGATCGCGAGAAAAGCGCTCCTCGCGTAACGTGGCTCTTGAAGCACGCTGCGAAGATGCCAAAGGGCTTCCTGGCGAAATCAGAACTTGACTTCCTGGCACTGGTTAGCATATGTGAAGATTTTGAGAAGTCCGATATCCAGGCTCCAGTCCTGTCGGTCTACGAGACCAAGCCTACGAAGCTGAAGGAGAGGTTTTGGTCCTCCAAGTCCGAAATCGTAAGTTATTGCGCAAGACGGTGCTGAGACTGTAGCTCATTGACATCACTCTCATAGCTTGTGGATAGGAGCCTAGCCATGACCTGGGCCACACAAGAGGAGCTTTTGCCGAACGAGACAAGCCACGATAGCGTCAGCATATTTCAACCACAGTCAGCAATCCACCAAGAAATTGGCCTTCTTATGCGGTCAGCACTGAGCATGCGCAAGGCAGCAACGACGGGAAGCGGTCGAAATGGTAGCACTCCATGATTCTGGGTTTGAGAAGTGCTAATAGAGTGTAGTGTCAAGGCCGGTAGATCACAGAGATCTGTGGGCGAGCACAATTTCGCATTCGTCTGACAGTCGTGGTGAGTCATAGTAGTCTAGATGCCAGGAAATAGTCTGACTCTCCTAGATCCACAGTCCAAACTAAGCCCACCGGAGGCACATTTCGGCTCTAGTATACCGTCCAGCTTCGAGCACATCCCTTCTCAGGATCCCGCTGAATACGTCACCGAAGAGACTCTCCCGACGCGACCCTGCTGGGAGTTTGGACCTTTTGGACACGAGGAGGAATTCGTTGGCCGGGACAATATTTTGGATACCATCGACGCTTGCTTCTTTCCAGATGCGTCGGCTGGCGGGAACAATACGCGTACTCTGAGCTGCTGTACGATAAGCGGCCTCGGAGGAATGGGCAAGACCCAGACGGCCATTGAATATGCCTGGTCGCGTCGGAAGCTTTTTGACGCCATTTTTGTTGTCCAAGCTGATGGGGCAGCGAATCTGTCCGATGGCTTTGCAGACATTGCCTCTAAGCTTGGTCTTCTGGACCTCACGGAAAAAAGCGCTGGTTCGGGGAAGGAAACTGATATGATCGTGAGCCGCAGCAAGGCAATGAAGTGGCTTTCCGCACCCAAATTTGCCAATTCGACCAGTGAACACGGCTCGATCAGAACGGGCAAAGAGGTGCCATGGCTACTCATATTTGATAACGTTGAAGATGCGTCCTTGTTGCGTGACTACTGGCCAGTAGGTAGTGAAGGCTGTATCCTTGTGACTACTCGGGATGAGAGATTTGGTAGTTACCTCCGGTCGCAGACCGACATTGCTTTGGATCGCCTGGATACCTCATCTGGGGCAAAACTCCTCTTACGACTGAGCTATCTGCCAGACAGTAAGATCAACACACAAGACGCCTCTGCGATCCTCGAACGGCTAGATGGACTGCCTATAGCGATCCAACAGGTTGCAGCGTACATCTTTCGCAAGTCCATGACCCTAAAAGAGTTTCTCAAGTTGTACGATGAGAGTCTCCTCGAGCGCGATCCGTCCGAGGCTGCCGACAAATCGTGGAGTCATACCATCGCTACTTCCTGGGCTTTAGATGACCTCAGCAATACGGCAACCGCGCTGGTTCGGACGTTTGCTTGTCTGTATCCGGATTCCATCCAAGGATCAGCCGAGGAACCACCGAAGGTCCAACCTTTTCTCAGGGGTTTCCCAGAAGACCGGTTTCAATATATAGCTGCCCGGAACGAACTCATTAAAGGTTCGTTAATTAGGCTCAACAAGGAGACTGAAGTGATCCGGATGCACCGTCTGGTGCAAGACATAGTGCTGGCACGCATAACAGATGCGCAACGGCTCGAGACGGTTGGCTTTGTGGTTAAAGTGCTGTTTGCCAGTTGGCCCACAACAAGTCAGAGCTTCGAGCACGAGGCGCGGAATTGGAAGGTTCAAGAAGCTCTGCTCCCACACATCTTCCGCTTGGTTGAGATATCGGGAAAATATGACTTAAACCGGCTTGATTCTCAGGCTAAACGCAGCTTCGTTAAGTTGCTCCAAAATGGCGGATGGTGGGTGATATGACAAAAGCTGAAGCCCAATGCTAATTCATGTGCAGGTACCTCCAGGAGCGTGGCAATTTCGTCGATGGCAGCCCGCTTTACGAACTGGGTATCAAACTCTGCGAGACGGCCCCGGAAGCGATGACTGACCTTCGCGCGGACATCGCTTTCAACCTGGCCAATGTTGCGAGCGAGACAAACCAGTTCAAAGCTTGTCTCAAGCACGTACGGGAACATCTCAGGCTCCGGCTTTCCCTTGATGCTAGCAATTCGCTACCGAGTGCAGATACCGGCATTGCCTATAGCTCACTCGGGCTAGGGTTGTTGCTGACTGGTGATTACGAGGGAGCTGTCAAACAGTGTGATATATCACTTGAAATCTATGGGAAGCGACCGGAGACTTTGGACGGAAGCTTCTATCCTACATTTCCTCATATACACCGAGCTCTTGCTCTGGCTGGGGCTGGACGGCCATCTGAGGCTGAAGATGGGCTGCTGGGCGTTCTTCGATGGCGTGAGGAGCAGTTTGGCCCTGATGATGTTGAGTCTTTCAAGTATGTCCCCGCCAACTACCAAAGAATCTGATCTAACTGAGATATAGATTTGGATATGTCCAACAATGTCTCGGCCTGATCCTTGCACGCTGTGGAAGGCCCGAAGATAGCATCGTCGCGTACCGAAAAGCCTATGACAATTACCGAAAGACGGTCGGAACGCGGTATCACCGATATGGAGCAGTGTGTGGGAAGCTTGCAGAGTATTATTCATCGTTGGATCAATTCGAAGCAGCAGAGTACGTTATATATATACCCTAAAACCCAGGACAAGCTAACATACATGATGTTGTATAGTTCTCTATTCGATGAAGCTGAAAGAGCATATACCAGTCACCCTCATTATGCGCCGGAACTGGCAAGACATTATTTTGTCCTTGCCGAGTCCTACCGCCGGCGTGGAGACATGGTGTCGGCGCAGCATGCCAGAGAAAAGGCTAAAATGTTCTACGAAGGATGTGTCCCGCATTATGAGCGGCGCCCGGTGACGCTAGAAACGCTCAACAGCCTCGTTGCACCTTGGGTCTGGTAGCTTGGTATATTTTGCCGCCGCGGCTTCAGCAACTTCGTCACAATTGGCTTGAAGTATTGCGGGTGCGAGAGGATCAGCGCAAATAGCGCGACTGGAACTAGAATAGCAGCCGGAAGCCAGATAGGCTGAGAGCCCGTACCGAACTGTTTCACATTCATGCCGAAGACAGATGACACTAGTGTAATTGGCAGGAAGAAGTAGGCCAGTGTCGTCAACCGCCTCTGGTCGTCTGCTCGTTCGACGGCCTTCTGCGACTCTTTCAGCATGGCCGTGTTCATGATCAAGCTCATGCTCTCGACGCAAAGGTCACCGAGCGCTTTGTTCCTGTTCAGGAGTTCCTCGAAATCCGCGTATGCTGACCGCAGCTCTCCTTGCGGGATGAATTGCGGGGCTGGCGGAAGCCAAGAGACTCGAACATTAGGGACTGCGCCGGAGCTGGAAGTTCCGTGATAGCTCAAGATGGCAAGTGCCTGCTGAAATCGAAGTTTGTGTTCATCTAGCAGTGTCTTGATGTATACTAGGGTATTCAACACAAGCTCCATCTGCTTCTCGTCGCCCAAATGCCCTTGCTGTTCTCGCACGACCCCATGCACGCGGTTGAGGAACTGACACTCCGCACTTGCGAAAAGTTGAAACACCTCCTTCAGCAAGACCGCGATTTCCGGCCGCGGCGACGATGAGAGCGATTTTGACCCTAGAGACATGCCAAAGTGGAAGGGTAGTAATGACACGACATGGCAGAACGAGCTTGGATGGGTTGCGTGCGCGCGATCATGGTCAGGGACACGAGGATGGTCGACTCCGATATGCACAGTGTCGGGTCGAGGAACGAGGATTGGATTCAGAGAGATTTCATTGCTGGTGCGGTTCTTTACTTGGGAGTCATGTCGACTAAAACATGGGGGGCCGTCGGCTCGATTCAAATTCAGCCCGTTGTCTAGCAGCACAACCACTAGTCTGGTCAGTTGCAGAAAAGGATTTCACTTTTCATCTTCCAGAGATGAAGATTGACGGCTAGATGCAACATACCAAAGCGACCGCCGCTCTTCCTATCGCGCGTATATATCGAGATATCATGCTCCAGTGACAACAACCGATCGCTCAACGTCGAGACCTTCCTCACAACCGACTCCCCGCAGCTCGCCTTTTGCCGGATCGCCTGGTGATTGCTCCGCATAACATTGTAATCCTCCTTTCTTCGCTTCGTCACCTGGTCCTGGCTGAGCGCAAGCGAACGAGTATACAACGACGCCACAGGCAAGAAGAGCATGTTCGTCGACGCAGACGGCAGTGGCAAGAGGTCAGAGTAGTCATGTCGAGAGAGATACTGAAGATGCCGCCTGAAGAATTCCGGGTCAATCTTGTACTTTGACCCGAGCATCTCAATCCACGCCGGCGATAGCGACCCGCGCACGAAAATAACTTGGTCTGTGCCTGGCTCTGCTTCGGGGACAGCCCAGAACTCCTCTAGGCCGAGCTTGTGGTCGAAGTCCTGCCGCTTGATGCTCCCATTTGCGATCGTGTGCACAACGACATACGTGAACCGGTCTTGTCGAGTTGGCGCTGGCATTCCTCCTCCTCTCCCGAGCCCGCCGGGTGGCGTGGGTACATCATGCCGGGACGTAGATTTAAGGTAGTCTGCTAGAAACTGATACTGCACCCTGGAGAATAGCTCGCTCTGTTGCGATTCTGCGCAGGCCTGTTGTAGACTCTTGGTGTACTGTTCCGGGGTGCGGCACTGGGCCCCGCCGCCTGCAGTAGTTGTCATACTCAGGCTCCTGATAAACTCATGCACAAAGTGTTTGTAAATCCGTAGAACAAAGGACAGAGTTTGCGGTGAAGGAAAGCATAAAGAAGTGGGCTGCGAGAGGCTGGCTTTGATAAATCCTGACCAAACTTGACCAAACTACGCAGGCGAGGCCTCCTCACAGCCTCGTCCTTGACAATCATCGATATTCGCTTCGCACCAGCGAAGCAGGCTCAGCGCAGTGACGAGTGCGTCCCCGTGGCTTAGGTTGACGAATAAGCATGTGTGTAGAGGAAGGCTGCAGATTAGGGGAGGGGCAAGGGTGAGTATGCGTTCGCATATAATTATCACACGCCTAGCCGCTCGCCTCTTTCACTTCCAAGCTCCTGGTCCTTTGGCCCCCGTTTTCAACCACCCTCTTCAGGTCCGTTCATCTCACTTGAGCGCGTAACATCAGCTCTCGACTTCAGAAAAAGATGGCCCGCAGTGTCCTCGTCATAGGTTACACGCCCCTAAACTCGCCACTATGGGCTACTATGCTTATCCCAAGATCTATCCAGCCGTTAACGCTTCACCTAGGCGCCAACCGAGGCATCGGCTTAAACCTACTTAAGGCGTTTGCCCAGCGCGGCTGGACAGTGTTCGGCACCGTACGAGCGGAGAGTCGATCAGACGCCTCGTTCCACGATGCAAGCACCCTGCCACTGAATTACTCAATCAATAATGTTAGATAAGCTGACAAACATGGTAGCTCGAGGCGACGGGCGCAACGATCTTCGACCTCGATTATCTGGACGAGAGCAGTATTGCTGCTGCGGCGAAGAGCTATGGGGAGGAAAAGCCGCTTGACGTCTTGATTAACTGTGCAGGTAAGTAGAGTAGGTATCCTCCTATGTACCACTTCACTGTCCCAACTGGTAAACGCACCGGATCTAAGCTGACCAGACAAGAGGCCTCCCGGTGCGTCCAGCTTCATGGGAAGAGACGACGGCCGAGCATATGATTACCAAGTTCCGAGTGATGAGCGTCGTGAGTTCTGCTTGATTGTGTAAGACGAGTTGACTATGCGATGGCAGTCTGACATTCTCTGGCCCAGGGCCCGTTCCTAGCGACCAAGTACTTCCTCCCTAGCCTGACCAAAAGCCTCGCTGGGAAGGTCATCAACATTACCTCCTTCTGGGCGTCTCTTCAGGGTGAGTTCCCGCTGCTGCTGCACAGCCACTACAAAATCAAGGCGCTGCAACCGTACGCTAAAGACCTTTCCTTTCCGCAGAAAATGACTTTGGGGAGTATATCAGCTACCGCACGGCCAAGGCAGCGCTGAACATGGAGACTGTGACTATCGCACACGAGCTGAAGGCGAGAAACCTCAACGTCACCGTGTTGGCGCTGGATCCGGGGGATGTTCCGACGAAGCTTAGTGGGTGGGAGGGGACTACTGATATGGAGGCGTCCATTAGAGGGATGGTGAAGATCATTGAAGAGGCGGAAGTTGATCTTTCGGGCAGTTATTTTAGGTGGAATGGGGAGAAGATTCCGTTTTGAACTTGTCTTGTGCGCTTTGCGGTGACTGACTAGTATATTGGAAGGAGATGGTCCACTATCCAATGTAAATGCTGGCTATATCTCACTATTCACGTCGAGAAATGTCAGGGCAGAGAGAGCCAATGCCTCGATTCCTGTCCGCAGAGTAGGCTCAATCACCGGCGCATAAGTGGCACTATGCGTCGGAGGCAAGTCCCACAGCTTGCCCTCGCGGTTCGCCTTCTCCCAGGTTTCCGGATCCGTCACCCCAATGTTCCAGTACACATACGGAATTGGCTCCTTCCCAGGCGGCAGCGCGAGAAGCACAAAATCATCCGCAACGATGTCCGGTGGCATCTCCTGCACGACCTCCGCCGCTCGACTCCCATAGTACGCCTGCAACGTCCGCGTGAACCTCGCCGTCGCGATCACATCATTGTCAATAGCCGGACTGCTAACCGCAGTCTCAATCCGCGGCGCCCTCGTCGCCCCAGAAGCCTCACACTCCTTTCGGATAATTCTCTCCACAGCAGCCCTGGCGGCCTTCTGCGCAGTCTCCGAAAAGCTACGCACATCAAGAGTGAAATCTGCAAAGTCCGGGATAATGCTCGCGTCCGTCCCCGCACGAATCACCCCACAGCCAACAACAACAGGGTCCTTGGGGTCCATCTCGCGCCCCACAACCATCTGCAGCCGCGTGAGAATACTCGCTGCCAGCACGATCGGATCAATCGCGAGCTGCGGGGTGGCCCCGTGCGCGCCGCGCCCGTAAACCCGCACAGCCAGCGAGTCCAAGAACCCCAGCACCCGGCCGGGCTTGACGGCGATCGTGCCGCTCTTGGTGGGCACACAGTGCTGCGCCAAGCACACGCTAGGCAGGGGGATCTTGCCGAACAGGCCGTCCTCGACCATGGCCTTTGCGCCGAGCAGGCGCTCCTCATTCGGCTGGAAGAGGACGATCAGCGTGCCAGACCACAGGGCCCGCGCGCTGTGCAGGAGCGCCGCCACGCCCAGGAGACACGTCATGTGCATATCGTGTGCGCAGGCGTGCATGACGCCCTTTTTAATCCCGTCGGCGTCAACCTGCTCAGCCTTGCTTGCGTAGGGGAGGCCCGTCGCCTCGCTGATTGGGAGGGCGTCGAGCTCCGAGCGCAGGAGGACAGTAGCGCCGGGCCCGTTGGGGAGGAGGCCGACGACGCCGTGGCCGCCGATGTGCCGCTGGACGGAGAAGCCCAGGGTTTCGAGCCGTGAGGCGACGACGGAGGCGGTGCGTTGCTCCTGACATGGCAGCTCGGGGTGCTGGTGGAGGTCTTTGTAGATTGCCGCGTGCTCGTCTGGGTCAGGGAAGAAGCACTCGATGATCTTGCGGCGGGTGTCGGGCGCCAGGCAGAACCGCATTGTGGGGGTGCAGTATTATTTATTATATTATATATTTTTTTCGTGGCAGACGGACAATTGGTCGAATGGAAGCCGGAGAATGAAATGATGATTATCAGTTGATGGGCTGGGAGAATACGAATAAAGACACTACTGTATCATGAAGATGGACTAGATAGATACCAGACCTTGCGACGAGGGCAGCCTGATGCTCAAACACTGTTGTTGGGTGACCGCAAGGCTCCCCCCGCGCCAGGTGACTGGCGCTGTCTGACTGGCTGCTAGTGTTTTGTTTGCTATCACGCAGGAATTGGAACAAGGATGCCATTCCCAACGGATCGGCCCCATGACCAGTGATCTTGAGTTATTTCGATACGTCTAGCCTTGAATTCGAGATGCAACCGGTCCCGTTGAAGCCAAAATCTTTAAAATCCTCGCATTTCTAAAGAAATTCAAGTAATCAAGGGTAAGATGCGTGCTATGGCCATCGATAAGATAGCGCTTTTCGCCCTTCTTCACGCGACTGGTCGTAGAGTCAATAAAATAATCTAGCTAGGCTAGGGGTAGTTCATTAGAAAGCTACTAGCTGTTTAGTGATGTGGCAGTTATAGTGTTTGGTGGGAGATCTTCGCTGCTATAAAAGTAGGCCTCTCCTAAATTCTCCCGCTGCTTTTGAATATAAAGAGCGGGTCTATCTGTTAGCTATCGGCAGTAGTACACTCGAGGGCAGTAATAGTCTCGCCTTTCTTAGCTGTAGCAAGATTAGGGCAAGATGATTTAGATCTAAGGCTTTCTTGATCGCCCTTGGCCCCTTGACTAGGTTAAAACCTGTATTTATTAAATTTGTATACTAATCATGCTAGGATATCATAGAGCAGAGTTGCAAGCTAGTCGTACTAATAAGCAAGAAGGCCTGTATCTTCTGCTTGGATTCATCGTATCTCCTTCGTGTTCTGCTTCACTAGGGCTAATTGTAGGTGCTAGATTCTTGCCAACCTGCCTATCCTTGCCCCCGTGCGCGAAGGCACAGATAATGCTCTCCCACACACACAGCAGGATGACGACGCATCGCATTCAACCAGGATGCCACCACTTGATATGTATTCGTTCTAGCCTGGCTAGAGCTCGAAGCTCGAGCCTTTCGCGCCTCCCGCCGGTCTCTCCCCTGGCCTATGAAATTGATCGCGATATGCCGCTCTCCCAGGTTGGCAATTACTTTCTGACCACCTCCTGTCACGAATCCATCTCTGAGCCGAAAATAGCCCAATCATAGCGTGCAAGGCTTGATATGACCATCTCGTCCGGTCACTGTGCACAACAACCCCGCGTCAGGATCAGCCGGGGGTCTGTCGCACTAGGAGGATCTCGGTAGCCTGCGGTGCCTTCCCAGACGTCGATGGTCGACGCACTACGGCAGATGACCTGACTGACCCCCCACCAAAGTTCCAGCAAGACAGCAATATGAGGCTGAAAAATGCATGCTCTCTGGAAGTCTGCCTTGTTATTTCACCGGTCGAAAACGCCTTGCGCTGTCCCTCTGCCGTACACTTCCGCAATCTCCCTCCCTTGCTTACCTGCCTGCCTAACTTACGTATCTATCTCTCCCCTCGCTCTCCCCGTCCCAGCGACCGCCAAAGCCACAATGCCGGAGTTTACCAAGGACACAGAGGCGACCCCCGAGAAGATCCAGCCCTGGAAAGCGCACTGGCCGCAGAGCACCATGAGCACCGCGCACCTGGACCCGCGGAAGTTTGCGCGAGCGGCCGGCGGCAGCAAGGGCGCATCGCCGAACAAGGATAGCTTCGTTGATGGGACCAAGGTGTATCGCCTTGATGACTTTGAGAGGTTCTTGGGGGACTTGAAGATGGATTGAACAAAGTAGGTATCTAGGGGTTTGTCTGTCCCGTTCTTTCGATGAGTGGTCCGGTGTTTTGTAGAGCGTTATGCATGATTTGTGGCGAGATGTTACCATGGTATGAAAGTGCTTGTTGTGCTGACTGCTGTTATGTATAGGATAGGCAGGCCGGCCTGTCTACTCTGATTGCGATTGTGATCGCATACTGGACGTGTGGGCCAGGCCGATGGCAAGTTCATGAGGACACTATGATATGATTCTATTATGCTTGGCTTCCTGTACCTATTTCACTTCTAGTTTGAGTTGAGTTGCTGTATGTATGACAGCTTGGTTTTGTCTTATCTTAACGTTGGGCATACTACCTATAGCTAAGCTATTCTTGGTGCGTTAATATGCTGTTGTCTCCAGCTCCAAGGTCTGTGTTGAATGCATGATCATACGATATGTTGAATTCTCCTCAGAAAGGCTAAAAAGGTATTCCTTGTAGTACGTCACTGGCTGCACTATGTCAAACAAGCAGAAACCAGAATCCCACTATCAGCTAGCTAGAGGGGGAAATGTCCAAGCACCTAATAAACAACAAGAACCCTCAGCTCAACGCTCTCACGAGGTTCCTCGTCCGGATACCGGGGATCGCAAAACGCCGCATGGGGAACTAAAGTCCGCATCACATCATCCGAGTTAGTTAATAGTTCAATTTGTAACTCTCAGAATACAAGCACAAGCATTGGAATCTTGTAAAGGAAAGGTAGGGAAAAAGTGAACGAAAAAAAAGGAGGAGGAAACTCACCCTCGCCCCCCGTTTCCGAATCCGCCGAGCAAAAGATCAACACCTCCTCCACCGTCTGCTCACTGAGATAATACCACCTCTGTGACGGATTATACTGGACACTGTGGGACTCCAGGACCCCCTCGACGTGCACCTCGTCTATCTGCACGAGATCGGACCGGTCTAGTGTGGAGTAATCGCAGAGGGCGAGGGGCCAATCTCGGAGGGGTGCGCGGAGGGGTTTCCAGACGCTAGCGGGCGTAGAAGTTATTATTGTGTGAGCTTTGGGAAGATAGAGGGGAAGAAACAGGGAGGAGTGGAGGGGCGTCTACTTGATCATCTGGAATTTTCTGGACCTGATAAGGTCCGCGTCGGACTTTGCGAGCTCCGTTATGAGCTTGTGTGCGTAGTTCAGAGTGTAGTCTAAGGGAGGGAGGTTGTGTTTTAGATCGAGGCTTAGCTCATGTGTCCTGGAAGCCGTTCATGTCTAGAGACAAGCATAACATACCTGAGTGCGCCTCCTGAACAGGTTGTCCAAACCCATTGCCAGCATTCACCGTGCCCCGGCGGCGGAACTTGAGGAGGAGAATGTAGTTAGCAGGTGCTGCCGTATACACAATACAATATGTGTATATGCATGGAGGAAGAAGAAGAAGAAGAAAAACTCACAACACATTCATGAATAAAAGCCGCCTTCGCCCCCAGCCTCTCAAGCAAAAGCTCCCTGACTTCCCCGGCAAGAACAGTCTTGAGCTTGTCTTCATCCAGGTAGTCCTCATAGGCCATCTTGCTCTTGAAGTCGGCGAAGATGAATCCCTCCTTGTGGATGGAGAGTGAGTCCTTCTTCGGCCTCATATCGCGGATGGGCACGGGCTGGATGTCGCTTGTTTTGAAGTTGCTCAGCTTCTCGTCTGTGGCTGGTTCATAGAGGAGCGTGTATGGCCGCTCGTTTGCCGGCCAGGACCCTGGTTTGGCGAAGCAGATTTCGCCTGTTGTGACGGGAAGGTCGATTTCTGCGAGGGACATTGTAACGGATTCGGAATTTGGGGACTCTGAAAGGTAAAGGGTGAAAATGATAGTGAGGCACGGAAAGTGGGAGTTAGTATGTCAATAAACTTGTCCAGCCGGTTCGAAGGTGTAAGTATGTATTCTGAGTCTCTGACCTGATGCGGGGACAATGCTCTTCACCAACAACGGCCAATTGCAGTCTGGATACGCCCATTGGTCTATTACCACCAGGTCAATCCTGGGTGAGCGTGTCTGGGTGGGGTTCACTCAACACAAAGAAAAGGAAGTGTAGTATCGGTTAGATATACCCTCCATTTTCCGGCGTATAATTAGATATGTGATATGCCCAACTTTTGTCACCTACGCTCGCTCCACTACTACACTACCTACCATGGATTCACATCCCGTTTCCAGCCTACCAGACTCCAACTCACCCACCCTCCACCTCACCCACCCGACAGCAGCAGAGCGACGCAAAATCTGGATAACGACCGCCTCAACCTGGGATAACACCCCGGACGAGCTCCTCCCGCTCTGCCTGCAGCGATTCGAATACCTAACCACCATCCCCCTCGCCAAGAACGGCGGGATGACCATGTGGATTCTCACGGATTCTCAATACCCGCCGGAGCACAGACCGCTGCTGGCCTCTTGCGATACATTTCGGAAGCGCGCACTGTTTACTCGTAGCGGCGACGGTCAGCTGGGGGGGCAGGGGGAGGCGGAGGGGGAGGGGGATGCGGTGGCGAATGGGATCGTCCATGGGATCGCGAGCGTGTTTACCCCTTTTCTTTATCGGCGGCATGGGTTTGCTGCGAGGTTGGTGAGGGAGCTTGCGGGGTTACTGCCGAGCTGGCAAACAACAACAACATTGTCTTCATCGTCATCGTCAGCATCCTTTGTTCCATGCATCGGGAGTATTCTCTACTCCGATATCGGGCGGACGTACTACGCAAGGCTTGGATGGGAGGTTAGTGGCACAAACACAGAATACATATTCAAGACTGCACTTGCACCTGCACAGCCGCACAACGTGAAGCCGATCGCGAAATCCCAGCTCGCCGAACTATGTTCCACCGACGAGAGCATGATCCGGAAGGCCATGAGCGCTTTCGCTCATGCTAGTGCTAGTACCGCTGCTCCTGGTGTTGCCGCCGCGAGCGAGGCAGACCGAAACCGAAACCGACACCGACAACGACAGGTGGTAGCGATCATCCCAGACCTCGACCACATGCTCTGGCACATGGCCAAAGACGAATTCACGGCCGAGCTGTACCTGGGCGGGATCCCGCTTGTCAAGGGCGCTGTTGTCGGATGTCCGGGGGAGAGAGTGTGGGTTGTTTGGACGCATACCTATTACAGTCACCCGTTGGCAGAGGGGTTGGTGGGGGGTGAGAACGGGCTTTATATACTGAGACTTGTAGTGGAGGAGGAGGAGTACACAGCTACAGCTACAACTACAACTACAACTACACCTACAGGTGCAGCTGCAGCGGAGAGATCGGATCGGCTTGTGCAGTCCGTCAGGGCGGTGCTGCAGGCTGCGCAGTGCGAGGCTCGGGAGTGGAGGCTGGATTATGTGAACTTGTGGGAGCCTTCGGAGTTTGTTCGGGGGTTGGTTGAACGGTGTGGGATCGAGTATGAGGTGTCTCAGAGGGCCGAGGCGAGGATTGCTTGTGGGATGTGGTATGGGGAGGATGGGGGGGTACTATCTGAAACGCCGATTTGGATTTATAACGAGCGGTATGCGTATTGTTGAGTGATTTCACTTAGAGGAAATGGGGATTGCATCATCTTGTACCGGGGCTTGAGTGTTCTTACAAGCCAAGTGGAGGAACTTTCACAGCAGACAGGAAGAGCTCTCCGAGGCTCCCCAGGGACTCTCCAAGCAACATCCCGCTGGCCACGACCACCAGCATCAACTGTTCAGAAGCCGCCCGACGCAAGTACGCCCACATAAAAAGACCCCCAAGCACCCTCGATAGAGTGAAAACAGGAGTAGTAAATATCCCTGTACATGTCAGCATGTGATGCAGTCAAATGACAGGCTGTCAGTTGGTTACCAATTGCAAAGGACACCCCACTCGGAATAAAAACCTGCCACCACCTCTGCTGAAATCTCATCTTTACAACCGTCGCGACAACGAAGAATATGCCAAATCCTAGCGCAAACGCACCCGCACCCGATGGTAGTCCTTTATTCAATACCATCTTCGCCGTACTCACCTGCAAAAACGAGTTGGGGATCTGGATGAACTTGCCCGGCACGGGAAATCGGGCTGTAAAGAGTCGGTACGTGAAGCAGGAGACAATTGCTCCGAAGATAGAACCGGCAATCTGCCCGTAGGTCTGCACGTCCGGTGGCGCGCCGACCAGTTGACCGATCTTCAGATCAAAGGCAAGGTCGCCAGCTTGGTTGGCGCCCCCCTTGGCGATCGCGCCGGAGAGGATGTTGATTATGACACTATCTGGCTTGGTTCGGGGGGTTAGGGTGGCGACGACTAATTGCGCGGCTGCCGTTAAGATATAATTAGCTGATGATTAGATCAAGGACAATAGTCCTGAGATAGTTAAGAGCAGTACCTAAACCGCTACCCGCGTTGAAGTCCGATTCTGCCAAGCCTCGAATGCCAGTCATCGCCACGGGCAATGCCAGAAGAATCGAGAGGAAGGTGTAGTACCAGGGCATTTTGTTACCAAACACTGACTGCGTTGCGAAGATGCACACCGGAATCGAGACAACAAAGATTGTCACCAAAAGATACCCACCATACGGAGACTCCTGTCCGTCGGGCGTTCCCGTCGTGGTAGGATGTTCCGTTTCATCAACAAGGCTGTCCTGGTCGTCAAAGGGCCCGTTGTTGTTGTTGATGATGATGCTATTCCGCACTGGCATATATCCACGTTGCCCGGCTAGGGCGAGTCGAGTGTTCTCCCAACCCCGGAACAGCCAATCTCCGTATTTCTCCCGAATCACCTTGAAATATATCCAGACCATTTTGACCAGCGTGTCCGCGCTTAGGCAGGCCAAACTAATCCAAATCAGCCAGCCACGACTGCCAGTCTCCCAATCACCGACGTCCCCAGGTGCCCAACCTTTACCTTTGGCATAGGGCGACAGGATTCCCCAGCCAACGATTGCCCCAGTCAGCATGTGAAGCACAATTTCCGGCCCCATAATTATCCCAGAGCCAAAGAAGCCGGGTGATAGACTAAATGTCCAGAGCCACTTTCTCGCAGCCTGGCGGCCAAAGAGCGGTAAATCTTTAGTTATGGGCATAAAGTACATGAACACCGTCTACAACAACTGTTAGCAAAGGCCTATGGAGAGGAAGATTCGAATAGGGAAAAGGACGAACAAAAAGCGCCGACCACGCTGCAGGAATCAAAATAAGGCTTAGATTCCTCGGAAGCTTGGTTGGTTCTGTGACATCCCCATCCTCCTCGCCATCGTCGGCGGCGCCATGCAACAACCCGGTCTCGCGGTGCGGCCACGAATCCCAGGCAACTGCATTTTCAAAGTCCTCTTTCTCTCTGCCATGTAGAGCATTAATCACATTTGCTGAAGCCGTCGCGCCAGGCCAAGGCCAGACCTTCGGGAAAATCAAACGGTCCCTCAGCAGAGCCGCAAAGAGGATGCCGAAGAAACTCAACCCCAAGGACCAGATAACCATGTTCATCCATCCCATTTTCACCGGCCCTCCCTCCTTCGGTCCAAGGACATATTCTAGCGCGGGAATGACCTCGGTGAACCCCGCCGTACCAGGCATGCAGCCCGTCGCTGTGGCCGCGCTCACAATCAAGACATTCTCAGCCTTGGACAGCGGGGCGAGGTTGAATTTTGCAAAACTATTGATCACCAAGTACCCTAGTAGGGCGGACACCGTGGGAAGTTGGGCGCCGGCACCGGTCTGCAGGCCATAGTACGTGTTGCAGAGGTTGATCAGGATCCCGACGAGCAGGCCAACGATCAGGGCGCGCCAGGTGAAGTTTTGCGATGAGTGAGGGCCGCGAGAGGAATGGAGGAATTCGGAGTCGTCGCCCGCGGATGGAGACATGGCAGCAGCCGGTAGAGTCAACTTTCTCAAAATCAAAACCTGCAGCCTCCCTTATAATATCCCGCCCTTATTAGGCCACGTGATCCGCAATCCTGCAGGCCAGCCTGTGTCACCAAGCCTGTGCCATCCTTTCGTTCAAGTTACTGCTATGAGTTAGATGCGAGTCAGATTTATCATTTGCTCGATCAAGGCATCTACGATTGCAGTTAGTCAACTTTTTTCTTACCTACTGAGTTGCAAAGGTTGGCAGCCGTGCGACCTACAAGGCTACTACAAGGCTACAAGCCTACAACCGACTTTGACTAAGTTCCCCTTGGCTCATTTCCTTTAAACTTACTACCAACAAGTAGTAAACCGATGGAGGGGTGTGCTGGAAGGAATATGACGCAGCAATAAGCATGCATAGATCTTGAGGTTTTCCAATTATTTTATATTTATAAAAAGATCTAATTAGTTCCTCTTGCCTAAGACAAAAGATAGTAAGCTTACCTCGGGCAAAGTACGACTAGGGGTACTATGCTACTATACGTTGTCCCACACCCTGAACACTCTTCGCAACGTGCATAGAGAGGATATGTCTAGTGACTTTGTTATAGACTGCGCTGACGATGACCATGTCGCGTCTGCTACTGCTATCATGAAGGGCGCCACTCACCACCCTCCTGAGAGACCACTATGGCTCATCCACACTTCAGGAACTGGTAATTTGATGGTGGAGGACATGCGTGCGGGCACCTGGGGTCTCGAACGAGCTAAGCAGTACGACGATTGAGAAAGCGTCGATGAACTCCTGAATCTCCCCGATGATGCGATGCACCGGAGGGTAGACAAGATCATTATTGAAGCTGGTCAAAAGGCCCCCGATAGTGTTAAGACAGCGATTGTCTGCCCTCCTTCAATCTATGGGCCTGGCAACCAGAAGAGTGTTCAAACGTACTGGTTCGCCGAGGCTGCTCTCAAGAGGAAGAAGGGGTTCTTGGTCGGCGAGGGGAAGAATATATGGCACCAGGTCCATATCCAGGACCTGAGCGACCTTTACCTCCGTCTCGGAGACGCAGCTGCAGCTGGTGGCGGTGACGCTACTTGGAATGAGTTGAATGACGAGGGGTACTGTTTGGCTGAGAATGGCCCCTTCGTTTGGGGCGGCTTTCAGAAGGTTGTAGCTAAAACGGCCTCTAATGAACGTTTAATGAAGTCTTCACGTATATTGCTCTTTTGGCCCCGGAGTGCCGGACTTTCTTCCCTTGGCATCCCGGAGCACTCAAGGTGCCTTGTAAGACACAGATGTACCTATATCAGGCAGTTCCAATGACACATTTCAACAAGCATCACATCCAGACCTCTGCATATAGTGGTCTGGCAGCATTCGTCTAGTAACTCGCTCTTGAGCTACCGTATCCACAGAGGTCTGACAGAGAACAAGATTCCGCCGTACTGTCCACAATCTGCAGCTGTTGCCTGTCTGGTGTGGTGCATTTCCTATGTTCTCCTTCTCATGTAGCCTTGAGTTTTTAGGCCCTTAGGCCCCGTGCATACGGCAGGCAGTTGTTGCGAAGGGCTCTGAGGAAGTTCATGTACTTGCATGGTTCTGATCATTGTCCAAACCGAGGCCGAGCGGATCAATGACCCATTCTGATATACAGCAGGGATCTCCATTAACATGGTTAGGCACGGCTTGATATTCCGAATCACAGTGGAGCTCTGACCATAGGCCCTGAGTGCCAAGAGGTAGCATTTACTAGTGTTTCCATGACGGTGAGTATGAACCAGTCCCTTTGACAAAGAAAGCACGGGTGTCTCATCTTCCTAAGTGTGTTTAGACCTCTAACTGTCAGTTGGGCGCCTTAACAGGGTCTTCAAAGCAGATATGAGAAATATTGTCTGTCCATTAATCAAAAATCTACTACTCCCTACAGAGGGACAGTCTTACTTAGCCTACACCTCCGTCTCAAATCCGGCAATGCCGTCGAAAAACGGAAAGGATTGTTTCTGCCAGAAGTGCCAGTCCGTCGCATGTGGATAGAAGTAATCCCTGTAAGTAGCGGTACCTTAAGGAAGCCTAATTTGGAAAATGAACGACTGGTGGAAGCTATCCGGGGACCTCCAGCTCCAATCTCGACGGCCAACCGGAATGATGAATTGATGATTGACATGGACGCTAACAAGGCGGACCGTCAGTGGCTTGAAGGAACTGACCATGGCGGCTATAACCGCTTTGGATTGTGAGACAAGCTGTTGTTGGACCCTGTTACGTGGAAATAATGGACCGAGAGTATTCCTTGTCGGCATGCTGGATTATCTCAACATCAGTGTCCCTCTGCCTGTGGTGACTATGATGATCATGAGTATGAGCTACGCAACAGCTCTCTAAGATCATGAGGATGTGGAAATCGCCATTTGAGCACATTGATCCAATCACCCGGTTAGCAGGTGCCGCGATATCAAGCAGCCTCTTGAGCCAACATTTGTTCACAAAGCAAAGTGCAGTCTTGTCTGAGGCTCTTTCTTGGATAATCCTGCCGGTCATCCACCACTATTGGGGAAGTCCACGGGCTCGCAGCGGCTCAAGGGCAACATTACCAGAACCAGTAGAGCATACACCTGCATCCGGTGCATCCGTGTGGGCAGTTGCTCTGGCCGTGTCTTCGGCATCTGTCTATCAAGCAGAGTATGGAATAATTGCTTTCTTTGTAAGTCACTTACTCCTTCCTGAAAGGACGAAGACTCCGAAGCTAACTTCGTCCTGATATTACAGCCAGCATTGAGTCCGCTGTTAGCTGCAGTGCAAATGTACATCGAACAAGGTGGGATTCAAACGGGTGTAAGATCTGCGTCAGGCCAAGACAGAGTCTGGAACACAGCTTTTATTGCTGTGTTGTGTATAATCACGCTGACCAACTGGGATCTCCAAGCCAATGCGCTGTCGGGGATTCCAGTGGTGGGACTGCTGGTCATTTACCTCGCTTTGACGCGGCCGCCCAAGTCTGGCAAGCGCGCTTCACAGCGTAGACCCATTGCTGCTGGGCATATCATATGCCCGCTGGCATTCCGTGTGGTGGTCACTCTGTTGGCTGTACTCGGAGTGGAAATTGCAGTTTTCGGCCCCGAAGGACCACTATTGTGGGCACCACCTTGCTAGGAGTTGCTAAATCGTCGATGTGGTATTTCCTCATTCAGACAGTATGTTCTCTCACGGCTATTCTATTATCCATGCTCACTAGTGTCAGGCTGAGTATTGTTCCTGGTCAGTGACTGCGGCCATCGCAACATTTAGCATTGTGGCCACCAGGAATCCATTCACCTTGACCTCGAATATTCAGGCGTTGTCCCATCTTATCGCATCATTATTTGCCCTAGGGCAGGTTATCTCCCTTCTACCGGATAAGGCCAAATCCAAATCTGCCCTCTGGATATGCATTGTCGTCTATTTAGTCCCATACCTGATCAACAATTACTCCATCCACGTTGCGAATAGCTCAGTGATACAGTCCTCCACGCATCCGATCGACCTACTAATTCAAGATGCCAAGGCCAATTTCCAAGCCTTGCTGGAAAGACAGTCAAACAGTTATACCGCTGCTCGTGAGGAATATCGCCGCCGCTACGGCATGGAACCACCGCCGGGCTTTGAAAGTTGGTATAATTTCGCCAAAGCACATCAATCACCGATCATCGATGACTTTGATGTCATTTATGATAGAATCTTCCCATTCTGGAGTATCAGCGGGATTGAGCTTACCGAAACTATCAACCGTTTGCAAGATACACTGAACAGTGATGTATGGGTTTGTATGTTCTCGGCTGAAGAAGCCAGGACGAATTGCAAACATCCTCACCGCAGCGTCGATAGAAATATTCAAGGATTTCTTAACTCAGTACTGGCAGATCTGCGCGGTCTTCTACCGGATGTCAAATTTCTTGTCAATCATCTTGATGAGCCCAGGGTTCTATTACCGTCATCCTCTGAGAGGTCTGGATCACTCAACATAACCAATTATTCCAAGAGACCTGTCTGGGATACATTGGTCAAGTTCTGTCCTTCAGAGGGTAGCAAGAAAGCTGACGGACCGACGATGCAAACATTTGGTCTCCCGTTTTTGACTGACCATCACTCGACAATAGACCTATGCAGCCATCCCGAATACCGTGGATCACACGGACTCTTGATCAGCCCTACATCATTCCCGTTGATTGAAGGTCTGGTTCCTATACTGTCCACCTGCTCGCTGTCGACCATGGGCGATATTCTATACCCCAGCCCTGCCTACCTTGAGCCGGAATTTGAATATGTAGAGGCCAAGGACATCAGCTGGGACTCCAAACACAATAATCTCTATTGGGCCGGCTCGACCACTGGTGGCTTTGCGGTGAATGATGACTGGCAAAGGTTCCACCGACAGCGATTTGTCAAGCTGGCACAAAACCTGGGGAAAACGAACCCCATTCCTATCTTCGGGAAGGCAAAGGCGTGGTCAACCGAGTGAAATCGTCCTTCCTCAACAGCAGACTATTCGACGTTGCCTTTACCCGAATCCTCCAATGCGAGACACGCTATTGCCGAGACCAACGAGCCCTCTTTCGAACCAAATCATGGGCCGACAAGGACGAAGCCTTGCATTCGCGTCTGGTGTTTGACATTGACGGCAATGGTATCAGTGGCCGGTACTACAAGCTGCTTGCGTCGAGGTCCGCGCCGCTTAAACAGACGCTTCTGCGAGAATGGCATGATGACCGTCTTATGCCGTGGATCCATTACATTCCCGTCAGTCAGAGCATGGAGGAGCTACCTGAAATGGTTATGTATTTCACCTCTGAGGCTGGGCAGAAACGAGCCCGGGAGATTGCGGAGCAGGGGCGGGAATGGTTCTTGAAGGCCTTTCGTAAGGAGGATCTGACTATCTATATGTACCGGGTTTTTCTTGAGCTGGCGAGGCTTCAGGATCCGAAGAGGTCTGCAAGGAGAGCTTGACGAGGACTTAGTGGCCGAGTACACTTCGCCCTGTTCCATTTTCTATATCAGCTTCGTCTGTTCCCAATTGGATAGATAGTACTTATAGCGAACACTCAGCCGAGACGTAGATGGTTATGGATAAATCTGTAGTTTTAGTCAATCGCATCAGCTACTCTTCCTTCTGAGCTGTCAAGTGTGGCATTGAGTGGTAGTGCGTGTCCCAAAAGACCCTGGTAAAGCTCCACCTATACAACAAGGAGCACGCGCGAATGGAATATGACAGGCAGCTAGCGTACCCCGTAGAAGGATCGTGTCTGTCTAATGACCAACGATTCTCGGCGTTTGCTGAGCTTTAGGCTTGGGTTATATTACTTCCCTTAGTGCTAATGCATCGACCCACCTAATATCTGAAACAGGGACCAGATAACCCTAGTTATTCTCATTTTAAATAAGCATAGCCAACACTTTTGACTTCGACAGACGAGATGTTTTGTTCACACCAATGTGCTAGACTTTAAACCTCAGTGCTTGAGCAACGCTTGCTGCTTCCATGTCCCCAAAGCTGAGCGTGTCCCGCAGACTGCTACGCAACGGACTATTCCGCCGATTTACCCTCCGACGTCGCCTGATCGCCAGCTTCTTGATATGCTGCGTACTTTGGACAACCTTGGAAGCGCTTTATATCTACAACCGCGTCACTACCGTCGATAACCTTGAGCCGCATCGGCTGCGTCAAGGCCAGCACGAGCGGATCTTCACAACTTTGACAAGATCATAGATTGACCACAAAATCTCTCATAGAGACAAGCATATGACATACACAACTTCACCATCGGACAGCAGCGAGATCAAAAGTAAGAATAGCCGCTCTCGAACATCTCCTTCGCACGTTTGGTCCGCTCATCGAGATCCTCCTTAGGCAGTCCAAGCACAGCATTATCCAGGCCCCGTCTGCTCTCATAGTCTCCACCCCCATTCGGATAGAAGACCCGCGCATACAGGGCCTGCGCAAAGCCCCTGCGATCACCCTTTTGCATCCTCTCAATGCCGCGCTGATACCGCTCAGCGGTGGGTTCATACTCAATCGTCCAATCCTCATCCTTATCCCCGGTAATCCTCTTCCAGCTCTCAAACATATCCCTCTAGCTAGCCAGGAAGCTCGAGATAAACAGCGGCTTGTTAGCCCAGCCACTCACCGTCGGGCTCGAATCATTCTCATCCTCCGGCAGCTCCTTGAACTTCAAGAAAGCCGCAACAGCCCGCCCACACTGCTCCCACGTGCTCACATTGATCTTGGTACTTCCATCATCATAAAACGTGACCTTCTTCTCCTTGAAATCAAACCCGAACCACTCCGGCCCCGTGGCCAGACTAAACTCGTACCAGAAACCGCAAACCAGCGCCACCCACACCGAAACACCGGTTTCTTCAATCTCGGCACAAGCCTGCCGCACCGGGTCCCCGGCCAGCGACTCCTTCCGCAGCTTCTCGTTGGTGATATCCACGCCGTAACAGTTTGGCATGACGTACGGCACGCCTGCTTTCGCAGCGGCCTGGATAAGCTTGCTCTGGGTGTCCTTTGGCGCAGTGACGCTCAATGTAATAATGAGGAACTGTTGGTTTTGCAGGGCTGCAACGAGTGTTGACTCATCGTCATAGTCGACGGTGACGGTGCGGACGCCCGCGGGAAGGGTGTTTTTGCTGCCTGCGCGGGTGAGCGCGGTTACGGTGTGTTGGCCTGTCTGGAGAAGTTCTTGTGTGATGTATTTGCCCACGGTGCCGCCGGCCTGGTGTCATTGTTAGCAGATGTCTTGGGGGGAGGCTGAGTCGACTTACGCCCACGATGGCGACGCGTTCGATGCGGTTGATGAAGCCGGCGGGCTGGTCTTTGGCGTACTTTTGGGTCATGTTGGTCAAGTCACAGTAATGGATACGATGATAATTCCGATGGCTTGTTCTGAGGTTTGTTTTGGTTTCTGGACATCATCTTGAAGGCTGGCCGTCCAGTTTATATCTCTAAACAGAGTATAAACGCCGTTCGGGAACCGGTTCAACTCGCGGAGATAATCGAGATGGGAGAATGTAAAGCCGACGGAGGAATATCGAAACGATAGCTTCAAGAAGTTGTCCGAGTTGATTCGCACAATATCTGTTGGTCTGCTATTGCTCATTCTCTGGCAAAGACCGGCGGAAATAACGGAGTTAGGGCTGGCTGCGCAATTAATGGAGTGACGATTTGTCGAGGAGGTCGGAGGATAAGACCCCGACATACCGATCATCAATTTTCTCATGAAGTAAGAGATAGTCATTTATCATCACTTCTGAGCTGAGGCCACTCTGATTCCAATGCTGGTTTGCTCAAACACAACATCGGCGATAGCAAAAGTTATGCCTGAGGCACGAATCCACCGTTACAGGTTTGATGGCTGCCTTAGGCACTAACGCTGTCTGAGCGGCCAGAAGGTATAACCGTAAAAGGCAATTCAAGGCTGAGACATTCCTCATTCGCTGGACATGTCAGATAATTAGCATGACTCGGTAGTCGCTAACTTCAATAATGGAGATCCACCAAAATCAGGGACCGTCAAGGTGGATTGGCGGCCAATACAACCTGTTACCTGCCTGAGACATGGCGCTGGTGCCTGCTCCTTAGTTTGGGGCTTCTTTCAATGTTCGACTTAAATCCAGTGTACTCCGTTTCAACTGAGATCAATAGAACACAATTGCATGACAAGTCATGCCATCAATCAACGTGTTCATCCGATGGCGTCCTCTCTCGCCGTCCGAGGCCAACACCCCAGAAATCACCCGAACTCAGCACGCGCATCCCACCAACAACACCTCCGCGCTCTCACTCACCCCGCCGCCATCGCACAAACTGTCTCGCCCCTGGAAAAGCGACTCGGCTTTTACCCGCATCTTCGCCGCAAATGACAACAACAAAGCCGTCTTCGCGGCCGTGGTAGCACCGACCCTCCCCCGGGTCCTGAACAGGCAATCCTGCAACTTCTTCGCCTACGGACACTCAGGGAGCGGCAAGTCGCACACCATCATCGGGTATGATTTCGAGCATCCCGACGAGTTCGGGCTGTGCCTGTCCGCCGCAAGAGCGCTCTACGAGCATCTCGACCAGCTGAATGCCGGCGCTAATGAAAACGAGAAATTCCTTCTTGGACTGCGCATGTACGAGCTCAGGAAGAACACCGCCTTCGACCTCCTAAACGACAGATGCAAATGCCACATTCGCGAAGGCCAGGACGGCAAAACGCACATCCGCGGCGAGACGGAAACGCTCGCCGACGGAAAGGTCCGCGTGCGACCGATCGTCACAAAGGCGTGCAGGACCTTTGACGAGTTCCACGCCCAGCTACTGGCGGGGATCCAGCGCAGGGCGACGGGGACGTCGACGGTGCACGATCAGAGTTCCCGGACGCATGCTGTGTTCGAGGTCGAGATTGTCACGCGGGAGCTCCTGGACGCGAGGGACGCGGTTGTGGAGCGGCAGTCGGAGCTTGTTCCTGTTGGGAAACGCGCGACGGATATTTATCTGGAGGAGAATTCCGAGGCGTTTATCCAGACGCCGGATGGCAAGTTTGCGCCGAATCCGGATTACCAGATTAACCAGGCGGCGATTGATGAGGCCGAGGCGAAGAAGGCGGAATTCGAGTCGTATGTCCAGAAAGCGGAGGAACATGTGGAGGCAGTCAACAGTCTTGTCCCCATGCTTGTCTGGGTGGAAAACTGGTCTTTGTGGACCTCGCAGGTTCAGAGTACTACCACGACAAGGGAACTGTTTCGGCAATTCGAGCAAAGCAGACGCCCCAGGAGCAGCAGGAAGGGAGGCAGATCAACACCGATCTCCTTTCCTTGAAGGAAGTCATTCGGGCGATGGCCCAGAAGCAGAGTCGCATTCCTTTTCGGTCGTCGCCGCTGACCATGGTCCTGCGCGAGCATTTCCTGACAGGTGAAGGAGATGATGGGTTTTCGGCAATGATTCTCACCGCGTCGCCTTCATCGGAGCAGTACACCGCGACGATTGACACGCTGAAATATGGAAATCTGATCGGCGTGGCCGGAGACAAGGTCAAGGGACGTAAATAGGGCCTTTATTAAGTTCTGCATTTAGACATATTCAGAATCGCTGACGGCTAGAGGAGCTATGTCTGCAGCTTTGGAATCGCTTAATTACCACGACTTATCTGAAATCTTCAAGAAGTATCAGCCAACCGGCGGTTAGGGAGCAATCATAAAAATCATGTTCCTCTATGTTAGGCGCATCAAGGGCACTACCCGTAGGTATATATCAAACACAGCGGGCTCGCGCCATATCTTCCCCTATAAACAGACAGTCTAGAGCAGATAAGCAGACGCCAGACGACAAGAAGGAATCTAACCACAACGCCATTCTATCAACTAAGCCAACGCATTCTTACTCTTCCTCAGAATCACATACCCCCATTTATAAAATGCAAAGGGCACCGGCACCATCACCGCAGATGCAGCCCCCAGCAAAGTCAACGACCACTTCACCCCCAGATTCTCATACAGCGGTATCGAAGCCAACATCATCCCACCGGCGGACAGACACCGCACGAACTTCACACTTGACAGGGCCGAAGCAGACCAGATACCATAGCAGTCCGTCAGGTACTGATAGCACGAGATAAACACTGTGATAAAGCCGAACCCGAACGGGAGGGATCCGACAATGGGGACCCAGGGCGAGATATGCGGGGTCGTGGTGTATGCCATCCAGAAGAGGGAGAGGGGGATAGTGGGGGCGCCGAACATGGCGAAATAGAAAGGAGGTTAGCATATTCCTAGGTGCCTGTGAGGCTGTGGATTAAGGACTAAGTTAGTGTCCTTGGACTGCTTGGGTGACCATGGCCACTCCTCCACCTCATCTCTCACCGGCAAGCTGCGCAGAGCATTGACAATTAACCAAGTATGGCCTCGACTCGTCCAAGAGAGAGATTTGGCTGCCGAAATTGCAAGCTCAGAAAACTCAAGGTGCGTGGCTCTCAGCTTCCCTAGACTGTTGGCTAAACATATCTAGTGCGACGAAACCAAACCCCATTGCAAGAGATGTAGTTCATTCGGAGTATTATGCAACTTCATGTCTAATGTTCCCGACCTACAGCCCATCGCCGCTGACAGAGGGAGGCCATTGGTGGTTCGAGGAAAAGCAGAGCTTCAACCCCCTGTGGCCAGTGCTGTCTGGATAGCTGACGAATCCACATGCTGTCAATTGAACGCAAAGTGTCAAGATTTCATCACCCGGTATCTTGGACGAAGCCTAATTACCCCAAATGACCCTAATATGATACAGGTTAATCGCAGGCTCCTGCGACTAGCCTTTGCCGTAAGTATTATTGCATTGATTCTGTCACCTTCAGACAAAATCGAGGCGGGATTATGCATTATGGGCCTGATCCCAGCTAACATATGGTTTATAGCACCCTTTTCTAATGCACGCCTCTCTGGCTGTGGCACTTACATATGACCGCCATCTGAATAGCTCATTAGGCTGTCGTCGCAGTCTACAAGTGTGCTATCACTGGTCTCAAAGTACAGCCCTTCTAAACAGGCGTTTAAGGGAACCGATTAAAGCGAAAGATAAGGATCCAATCTGGGCAACTGCGGCTGCTCTGGCTGTCTTGACCTTCTCATCCCCTGATGCATGCACGCCGGAAGAATCATGGCCTTTAAAGTCCTCTGGCTACTCCGATTTGGACTGGTTACGTATGAGGAAGGGTAAAATGTCATTGTGGCACATAGTGAACCCACTACGACCGGACAGTCTTTTCAGCGTCATGGCGGCGACATTTGCTATTATGCATTCGCCCTTGCCAGAGAGGGGTATAGATGGTATACCACGGGCCTTGGCTGCACTGTGTATCCTCAACGACTCATCTACAGCGAGAAACAATCCGTATTTCTATGCCGCCCACGCAGTATCCCAGATCCTGGACCTCCCGGATAGCGCGGTCACGACAGGTCAAACTCAACTTTTCACGCGCTGTATCCATGGCCCTTTTGAAGACTTGCTCCGCAAAAGGGACCCTGTAGCGCTTTTGGTGCTGTATCTATGGTATCGCAAAGCAGGTCGCAGTATATGGTGGATTGAACTTAGAGCTAGAGTGGAATGTCCTTCTATTTGCTCGTACATACGGCTCTATCACAAAGGAAATGGTGCGGTACAGGCATTCCTTCCAGGAGGTGCCTCGCCGATAGATGGGATTAGTTAGGATAGATGGAATCAGTTAGGCTTCCATATCCTCGGAATTGTTAATATGAAGAACTGCACTAGTGGTTTTTGAGATTCCCACCAATTTTACTGATTGAGCGGCGGGCAGGGGTGGTGGTGATAGTAGTAATAGTACCAAGTGCATGATTGCCCTGGGGCCTCTCTGGAGTCATATTAATGCCTACCATAAGGGCTTCCCATGGCTATAGTCCCGCATAGTAAACTATCTTCTATCTCAGTGCTATAGGCACCAGAAGAGCCTTTTCAGAGGTTCCTATGTTAGGGAAGCGCCAGTATAACGTGCCTAGGGCTCTGCACCATTTCCTCCCACCTACAGTCTGGGGAGTTAACCGCGTTGATTCGGTGCAGGAAGTTGGTTGAGCCTTATTCAACCTGACCTTAGTTGCATCAGGGCTGAGCGGCAGGTAGCAGTCGCCAGGTTAGAGCAGATAAGTCTGAAATGTGTGAATGATATGTAGACCATTCACTTACCTCTATAGATAATACATTAGTATGACAAGTCAATGGCAGTTATTCACTTCCCACCTGTACTCTCAGAGGCCAGTGAATGTCTGATGTTTCTTTAGCTAAAGAGGGTTGACCTTCCTATTTCAGCACCTACTCTTTCTTAAGCCTTAATAGATCCCTTCTGTTGAACATATTCTGTGCTAGAAATGGTTGTCTAGACACTCTTACGGGTTGGCATCTTCTCATCTACCCTCTCCTCATCATGTCAGATGTTCCATTTTCTATGCCTACCGCTCAGTCAAGCTCAATTATGACAGTGACTTTAGCAAATCAATTTGATGAACAGACTGTTTTTGAAGGTCACGTCCTCTTCTCACTTAGTCAAGTAAAAGAGTATCACGACTTGTTCCTATTCATTGACGTGCCTCCCGCATGGGGGGAGGTTGCCTTCTGGCTTGTTGATAAGAAGATGCAAGATCCCTCTGTGTCTGATCTCTGTTGATATGCAACATGAGGGGAGAGGGCGAGCCATTTGTTGAGTTTGATTTCCCGCCTGGCACAGACCAGATGCAGGAGATCCGCGAAGCGCCGAATGCAGCCGAACTAATGGAATCAGAACTGTTCAACCGACTATATGGCTTGTATACTGAAGTCCTACTCATGCTATGACACTGAACAGCAGAGGTTACAGTGTGCTGTTGACATGTACAACCACCTGTATCGACAATGGCAAGACGCACCGTTGGACTACACTGCAGAGATGGCGAAATAGCAAATCATCAGAAGAAATTGGGGTTGCAACGTTACTCATACCAACTAGCAAGCGGGTAATACAGCAATTTCACAAACTGCAGAAGACTTTAAGAGTCTAAATGCAATGTTGCAAAGGGACAGTCCACCCTGGCTACTCGGAGGCAATTATATACGCGCAAAAGCTGCCAGAATAAGGTACAACAGTAAGAGCCGCAAATTGCGACTCAGAGTCATGCCCACCGAAATTGATGACTGCATCCGGGAATGGTTGATGCAGCAAATGGTTACCTGGCTTGAATTAAGAAATAACGACATAATACAACAAGAACAGTCGCTGTTGCGTGGGAGAGTCGGCACAGGTAAGTTATTTAATAATTTACTTATCTAAATAGGAACGCTAAGCTAACATATATAGCCGTTGAATTCAATACGGTCCATACAGCGGCTCCTGGGTGTACTACAGGGTTGGCTAGAAGGCGGAGGGCATGCTCGGAAATGCTTCCAATTTATCAACCATTCTGGAGTGGTATGTCGTGTTTCGGGTCGACAAAGTCCGGGGCTTAGTGATGCCCCTCACCATGCCCATGGGAGTTACTATCAATGATAGAGAATGGGGTGGCGCCACCACATACAAACCCCAGTCTGCAGCAGGAAAAGAAGCAACCACATTTCCTTCCCAGGCTCACGTCGTCCACGACATAGGAGCATCCGAGGATGGCCTACTCTGGTCATCGAAACCGGAGTTAGTGAATTGCATACCCAGCTTCAGGCTGATGCAAAGTGTTGGTTTGTGAACTCCTTGGGTGACATCCGCATGGTCATCCTGATAGTTGTTAGACTAACTTATGTCAGATTTAGAAAGCGGCAGCTCGTTCCGCAGAAAGCTCCAAATTCCAATGCAAGTTATATGAGCATACATTGACCAGCTGAGGGCCAACCCATCGCAGCACCCCCCAACTGTCACATGAGCTCCCATCACCCAAGGCACCTACTCTGCGTATGAAGGGATAGTGACGGTGACTAGTGTCGCCAGTGATCCACAATCCTTTGTTTTATGGCCCTGTATGAACGGGCCCCTGGTCCCACTGAGGTGGATGTTATAATTCACATCGTAGATGTTTGCAAAAGTCACACTCGTGGCTGCCTTGAGAATGTCGAGTTGGCTCCCACGGCTTGACCGGTTCGAAGGAGGTTATGGAAGTAGGTTATCCAGCATTTTCCCTCCCTGATCTTCCTTTCAAGCTGATGAACGTGCCGCCAGCTCTTGTGGTAGACTCCGGCTGGAGCGAGTCAATAGTTCAACTTCATGATGACATGAACCTGTTGCTAATAGGTGGCAATGGCTCCATTAAGGTTGTCATCTTTGTTAAATGGATAAGGTTAATAGGCGCTTGCGTCTCTGGCATTGTTGAGCTCTTCATCAGAGAAGGAATGGGATGCCGACACTACAGCAGAGCGAGGTATGTTCAAGTTATATGAACCATCTTTATACAATTGGTTCATTGGGCCAAAGGTCCAAAGAGCATAGACACCATGATCACAGAGAAGGAAGAAGTGTTCAGGATTCCAGAAGTACAGAACATTGGTTTCAACCAAAACATGATCACACGCGAATAAATTTGTGATCTCATATCCAACCTGAACATATGTAGTATCTATAATTACTCTCTTAATCACTATACAATTCATAGTATTCTAGAGTCCTAATATATAGTAAAAGGGGGGTCTGGGGGGCCCTGCCCCTGGTAACTATTTAATGCCTTTCTTCCCTACTTATGCCCTTGAGCCCCCTCGCTCTTAAGCTTTTAGGATGGTAGATAGCTAGATATCTACCAGCCATACCTAACTAGGCCGCCTAGCCTCTAGTCAACAATTAGAGTAGTTTACTTGAATATTTGCTGCTTAGCATACTGCTCGGCTTGCTCCGCAGGCCTTAGGTGGTCACAGACTTGCAACCGGCTACACCTAGTACATCATTATGACAAGTTGATGGCAGTTATTCCTCAGATGCCAGTTAATGTCTGAGGTTTCTTTAGCTTCCTGTTTCAGAACCTGCTCTTTCATGAACCTCAATACAGCCATTCTACACTATTATTCCTGCTGTGCTAGAAGTGGTTATCTAGACATCTCCCTTCACCATGTCAGATGTTCCCATTTCTACCCCTACCACTGAGCCAAGCTCATTCGTGACTGTGACTTCAGCAAATCAGTTTGATTGGCTGACTGATTTTATCCACCACGTCGTCTCCTTGCTGCGTCAAAACAGGGAGTATCATGAGTTTATATTCACTGACGTGCCTCCCTCGTGGGCGGACGCTGTGTATCAGCTTATTGATGAGAAGATTCCCTCTCGGTAAGTCATTCAAAGGCCTTCTGCGTCTAATCTTGGGAGTCCTGCTCATGCATAAAACATCCAGAAAAAGCTACAACAGTAAGAGCCGCGAGCTGCAGATTAGAGTCAACCACACCCATATAACCGACTGCATCCAGCCGTGGTTGTTTAAAAAACCGGTTGGCTGGCTTTTGGATGGCGACATGACACTAGAAGAAGTGGATCTGTTTTATCCAGGAGTCGGCACTAGTAAGTTTGTTGTATCCTTGCTGTGTTGACCCTACTGCTTCATCCCTAGCTGGAGATGGTTGTCTGGACACCTTTTGGCTGAGTGTTTTGATATATGCCAAGTATTCTTATGGCCTAAATAGGAACTCTAAGCTAACATATATAGCCATTTTCTTTAAATCCGGCCCATATAGCGGCTCCTGGAAGGAACCTGACTTCTTCTTCCGAGCTACGCATTATTACCTGCCGACTCTTGCGGTACAGTCTGGCTGGAGTGAATCAAAGGAACAACTTTATAAGGGCATGGAGCTGTTGCTAGTGGGTGGCAATGGCTCTACTAATGTTGTTATGATTGTCCAATGGACTAGGTTAGAAGAAGCTCGCGTCTCAGGGACTGTTGAGCTCTTTGTCAGAGATGAGAATGGTATTCCTAAACTAGAACAAAGTGAGGTATGTTCAAGACATATATATGATTATGTTCACATGCTTATGACCTATTTTGTGCAGACTATATTCCCGCGTCCTGCGACTCCCAACAACCAAAGCCTCTGGATACGAAGACGGGACCTTTTCGGGCCAGCGCTGGTGCCAGGCCGTAATGGCAACGATGTGCTTTACTTCAATGTCGAGGATTTACGTCGTTATGCCACCGGAGCCCTCGGTCTCATGGATCTTGTTCCCGCTTAGATCCATTACGGGAGAGCCTTGGCCGATGTGCACCACGTCCTCCTCGTCCAGGAACTCATTAACCTGAGGAGGTCATCGAACCTCGAATGCACGATCCCACGCGTGCGATTTGTGCCAAGTTTGGGATCAACTTATTCACTTGTATTGTTGATGGCGTGGTGCGGTCCAGGAGGACAAAAGATTTCTCTCCATACTTGAGGTTAGGTCGATGATGGTTACATATGCGAAGGTGGTTCCTGTCCAGATGCAGAAAACAGCTGAGGCCATTGAATGGGTAAAGCAGCAGTCGAGGGAGTTTTCAACTCAGGGATGAGAAATTGATATAGCTATCACTATTAACATGATTATTTATATGAATATATGCTACCAGATTAGTTGGCTTGTAATGTACCAGGGCCGTCACGAAGAGAGTGGATCCATGTTGCCAACATCGATCAGAAGGCGACATATGTCTTGATCACCAAGCTGCTCAGCCACCCGCAACGGATTCTTTTGCCCGTCCCAAGTATGACTATTCCAGTCAATGCCGCTCTGTGAGAGCAGTATCCTCATCGACTCGTATGAGGAATGCATTATAATCCGCACTATGGGTGTGTGTCCTTGGTTGTCTGCTTGATGTATACCTTCCTGGAATCGTGGGATCAAGAGGCGGAACATCTCCGGGTTGCAGCGCCTTGATGCCAAATGCAAAACGCTTTGGCCGCGGGAGTTTCGGTATCGAAGATGTGCGTCGATGCCGTTCTGCTGCAACAAGTACTCTACCACATCGACTTGGTTTCCCAAAACAGCTTCTCCGATCGATTGATGCCTTGGTTTGCCGAAAACTGACACATGCCGACTACCCCACAACTTTATTGCGGGAGAACTTCGGCAACCCCGCAGTCAACCCCACAGTTATCAACGAGCCTTCCGGAGATGGCAGATCATGCATCTCGGGCCAATAAACCTCAATCAATCAATATGTACCCCTCTCTGGGCAATCATGCACTAGACACGTTCATAGCGCGGCGCCACCGTCGATCGACTCCGCACTTCTCCGCAAATGACGGTCCCACCTCGATCAAGCGTGTTTCTGGGGAATGGAGGCAGACAGGAAGTCCGGAATGTTGGTCCGCCGAGAGCATTCTTCCTAGAGTCTAGAGGGGTTTCTTGTTCTCGGTGGGGACTTGTCCGAATTCTCACAAAACGTCATACTCGGCTGAGGAATCGGCATCTGGTGTATAGAACGGAGTGTTGGACGAGGAATATAAATCTGCTTGCCGCTTTCCAGCATAGGTGGACTTAGGCCTGCTTCATACTAGTATCCAGTCGTAGAGATGCGAATTCTATCCTTTTCAGTTGTTGCAGCAGCAGTCTGCACTGCTGTTCCATATGAGGAGTATATCTTAGCGCCAGCCAGTCGAGATCTGATTCCGAAAAGGGTGTATCATGTTAACGGCTCCATTTCAGACCCCTCTGCTCTAACCAATACGAAAGGTGGGAAAGCGACTTTTCATGGTGTCTCATATGTCACCTATGACTTTGGGCACAACATCGCCGGCATTGTCTCGCTGGATGTCAGCCAGGTCTCCTCGCAGGATGCCTTCATTGGCATCACATTCTCCGAATCAAGCCTTTGGATCAACAACGAAGCTTGTGACGCAACTGCCGATGCAGGTCTTGACTCACCCCTGTGGCTTCCTGTCGGACATGGCTCGGGGCGATACACGGCCGAGAAGAAACACAACCGCGGAGCTTTCAGATATCTGACTCTCGTCGCCAACACATCAGCGACAATCGTTGTTGAAAGTGTCCGAGTCAACTTCACGGCAGCTCCGACTCATGACCTTCGTGCGTATACGGGCTACTTCCACTGCAATGATGAATTGCTCAATCGCATCTGGTATGCAGGCGCCTACACAAACCAGCTGTGCACCATTGATCCCAGCATGGGGAATGCGTTGCCCTTGTTGGGTACGATCACCTCCAACAATATCACCCTCCCGGAGACTGTCCCCTGGTGGAGTAACGATACCATCGCCAACGGGAGCAGCGTGCTCACGGACGGAGCGAAATGGGATCGCCTTGTCTGGCCGGGTGATATGTCCATAGCGCTGGAGAGCATCGCCGTCAGCACGTATGACTTATACAGTGTGCGCATGGCGTTGGAATCACTCTTTTCAATGCAACAAGTAGACGGCCGTCTTCCTTACGCCGGCAAACCCTTCCATGATACTGTCAGCTACACCTACCATCTCCACAGCTTGATCGGCGTATCGTACTTGTACCGCTACTCAGGAGACAGGAACTGGCTTGCCGCACACTGGAGCCAGTACAAACGCGCCTTGCAATGGTCACTGTCCAGCATTGACAGCACCGGCCTAGCCAACGTAACCGCAAGCGCGGACTGGCTGCGTTTCGGCATGGGAGGTCACGTACGTCCATCCCCACTCGTATACAGTATACCTCACCACTAACACAAAGCAGAACATCGAAGCAAACGCAATCCTCTACTTCGTCCTCCAGGAATCCCTACTCCTCGCAGAAACCCTCAACGACACCGCCTCCTCATCAACCTGGTCCCGGGCATCGCAGCTACCCTCAAATCCGCCGCCAACGCAAAACTCTGGGACCCAGCCACAGGCCTCTACCGCGACAACGAGACCACAACCCTCCACCCACAAGACGGCAACGCCTGGGCCCTAAAAGCCAACCTCACCTTGTCAGCTAATCAATCATCCACGATTTCCACCGCCCTCTCCGCCCGCTGGGGGCCCTACGGCGCCCCAGCCCCCGAGGCAGGAGCCACCATCTCCCCCTTCATCACCGGCTTCGAGCTACAAGCCCACTTCCTCGCTGGCCAGCCGCAGCGGGCTCTGGATCTAATCTGGCGGCAGTGGGGATTCATGCTTGATGATCCGCGCATGACGCAGTCGACGTTTATAGAGGGGTATAGTACGGACGGGACGCTGCATTACGCGCCGTATAGCAATGATGCGCGGATCTCGCATGCGCATGGGTGGGCTACGGGGCCGACTTCTGCGCTGATGTTCTATGCGGCTGGGTTGAGGGTTGTTGGGGCGGCGGGGGAGAGGTGGCTTTTTGCGCCGCAGCCGGGGGATTTGAGAGGTGTTGAGGCGGGGTTCGAGACTTCTTTGGGGAGGTTTGAGACGGAGTTTAAGAGGGGAAATGGTGGGTATACGAAGCTGGTGTTTGTGACGCCTGAGGGGACGATGGGTGATGTCAAGCTTGAGGCGGAGGGGGTGCTCGTCTCGAGCAATGGGACGAGGGTAAGGCTTGTTGATGGGGTTGCTACTGGTCTGCATGGTGGTACTTGGATGTTGAAGGGGGTGTAGTCAGGTATTCTTCTCATGTGGTTCTATTCATATTGAGTCGACTGATGTTGACAGGATTGGGAGAGCTCACTCGATTGTAGGTGATCTAATGACAACGGGAATGAAAACGTTCCACTTCCAACTCAGTCTTCCAGCTCGTAATATTCAATGGTCATCGTAAGTAGATATTGCAATTTTCCTCTTGCAGCAACCTGTGAGGCCGTGACTGAGTATTAACAACGCAAACGACGAAGCGGCGTTTGTATGACTTCATATCTCGGCCCTTCGTTCCGACAGTCTCTCCAATCCTCGCAGATTGCCACTGATATCACCATCTCAAGCTATACCGTATCTTCAGACTCCATGGCTATTTCAACATTATATCAAATAAGTGMATATTGTATCCATACTCCTCTACGATCCGCATCGGAAATTCAACAAAATGACGACCGCAACTCCCAAGTAAACCAACCCCTTCCTCCTCAGAACTCCTGCTAAGTGTACAGTACAGGCCGATGACAAGCACGCTCTACAAGCCCCATCCCACCGACAAAATGAAAGCCGCACAGTGGATGGGCACGCGGAGAATCCAGCTCGGCACCGTCGCCAAACCAACCGTCACGGACCCCTCGGACGCCATAATCCACATCACACACTGCACAATCGGCGGCGCAGATCTCCACCTCTACGACGGCGAACTCAGCGAGTTGCTCTCCAAAGGTGACATCCTCGGCCACGAGGCGATCGGCACCGTCGAGGAAGTCGGCGCGGAGGTCCGCAGCATCTCCCCGGGCGACAGAGTCATGATCCTCCCCGTGATCGCCTGCGGACACTGCGAGTTCTGCACACGGCAGGAGTTCTCGCTGTGCGACACGACGAATCCCTCGCGGGAGATGGAGAGCGCGTACGGACACCGCGTGGCGGGGATGCTGGGGTTCACGCGGTTGTACGGCGGGTATCCCGGTGCGCAGGCGGAGTACGTGCGGGTCCCGAACGCGGATTTCTGCTGTGTGCGGGTGCCGGGTGACGTGGACGCGAAGAAGCTGCTCGGTCTGGCGCATGTCACGACCGCTGCGTGGCATGGGTGCGAGCTTGCGGATGTCCAGCCAGGGGATATAGTCGGTGTTTGGGGGTGTGGACCAGTTGGGCTATCGGTGCAGCGGCTTGCGGTGCTGCACGGGGCGAAGAAAGTGTATGCTGTTGACAAGGACGCGGGGCGCTTGCAGATCGCCGAGGGGTTCGGGATGATTCCTGTGGATGTGAGCGTGCATTCCGAGGTGGGGGACTATATCCTGTCGATGGAGCCGAGGGGGTTGGACTGCGCGGTGGAGGCGAGCGGGTTTCGAAGTACGCAGAAGCCACAGCATGCGGCTATGCGGGCGATCGGGCTGGAGCATGATAGCAGTGATACGGTGTCGGCGATGATCAAGGCGATAAGGAAGGGAGGCCATCTTGCGCTGCTTGGGGATTTCTTTTATAAGACGAATGATTTTCCTATAGGGCCGTTGATGGAAAAGGGGTTGACGATCCGGGGAGGACAGGTCAATTCTCAAAAGGTGTGTCCAGTTGCCCACGCTCAGATTGAGTGAGATTGACAGTATAGTACCATCCCCTTCTCTTGGACCTGGTGACGCAAGGAAAGTATGATCCGTCGTGGGTGTTTACATACGAAGGTATGTCATCACTGTCTATTTGGCTGTGCTGACGAGACAGACGAATTCGAGAATATCGTCGAAGACTATCGCCGGTTCTCACGGCATGAGATTCCTGGAGGATTAAAGGTGTGTTTGGTGACGGAGTATGGTCGGGGTCAGGCTTGATCTGATGCAGTGAAGCTATCCAAGATCAATAGATTGACTTTAGATATGATTGGGGTAGCAACTGGGGAGATAATTAATAAGGTTGAGCTGACGATTGACAAGAATTGGTCAGGATGACGATGACTCATGATCTGACCTCAGCTGCATTTATTTGTAGGCAGTTGACATCAACATATCATATCCATAGGGTACTTTGACAGTCGGCGGAATATATTACCCCTCCATCCACATCCTCATCCTCATTCTCATCCTCAACACCATCACACATCTCAACTTACCGCACATCAACTCACTCAACTCACTCTACAACAATGTCATTCCCTCCTCCCCCCGTCGACACCATCGACTGGTCCAACGTCGGCTTCAAAGTCCGCGACGGTAAGCTGCCCTCCTCCCTCCCACTCACTCATCCCAACTAACATCGAAAGTAAACGGCCATGTGGAATGCCACTTCTCCCACAGCACAGGCGGCAAATGGTCCGCCCCCAAATTCGTCTCCTCCCCCTTCCTCCCCCTCCACGGCATGGCCCCCGGCCTCAACTACGGCCAACAAGCCTACGAAGGCCTCAAAGCCTTCCGCCACCCCAACGGCCAAATCTCCATCTTCCGCCCGGACCGCAACGCCGCCCGCCTCCGCCGCTCCGCAGAGTTCGTCTCCATGCCCCCTGTCCCGGAGGATTTATTCGCGCAATGCGTCAAGCTAGCCGTCGCCGCCAACGCCGAGTTCGTCCCGCCCCATGAAACCGGCGCAGCGATGTACATCCGCCCTTTACTCTTCGGCTCGTCGGCACAGCTGGGCCTCTCCCCGCCAGACGCATACACCTTTGTTGTCTTCGTGATGCCGACGGGCGTGTACCACGGCGTGCACGCGGTCGACGCCCTGATACTGGAGGACTTTGACCGCGCCGCGCCGGAGGGGACCGGGTCCGCGAAGGTCGGGGGCAACTATGCGCCTGTGCTGCGGCATAGTGCGCGCGCGGCGGCGGAGGGGTTCGGGATCACGCTGCACCTGGATAGTCGGACGCGGTCGGAGATTGACGAGTTCTCGACGTCGGCGTTTATCGGGGTGCGGAGGGACGGCGACAAGGTGACGCTTGTGCAGCCGGATAGTAAGAATGTGATTGATTCGGTGACGGCGCGGTCGGTGTGTGAGATTGGGGAGCGGGTGTTTGGGTTTGCGGTCGAGAAGAGACGTATTGGGTATGAGGAGATTGAAGAGTTCAGGGAGGTGATTGCCGCGGGCACGGCGGCTGCGCTGGTGCCTATCCGGAGTATCACTATGCGGTCGCGCGAGGATAAGTTTACGTTTGACTGCGGCGAGGATGGGCAGAGCGGTGGCGAGGTCTGTGTGAAGCTGTTGCAGACCCTCAAGGGCATCCAGGCCGGTAAGATCGAGGATAAGTTTGGGTGGAACTGTATCATTGACCAGGCTCCCCCGGCGGCATGGCTCGGGGGTGCAACGGGGCATGAGCAGGTTGCCGAGGGGATTAATGTACCATAGTAGCTATGGCCAGGCCAGCCGTAAATATTCATGATATACATACAAGAAGAGGCGTCATACAAGAAGTGTCATAAAGTAGATATAGACAAACTAATTCCTCAAGCCCACCTTGGTCCCATTTCTTGAACACAAGGTCAGAGTCAAATTCTCCTCCCACGGTCCCGGATCCCGACTCTCTAGCACCGCAAACTGCTGCGCCAGCCGCACCGTCACGTACCCTGCCTCGGTAAGCGCATACTGCTGTCCCACACAGATGCGCGGGCCCCCGTTGAACGGGAGGTACTCCCATCCCGGGCGGAGATCGGCCCAGCGCTCCGGACGGAACTCGTTCGCATCGGGGCCGTAAAAGTCCTCGCGGCGGTGCATCGACCACACACTGTACGTGACGATTGAGCCCTTGGGGACGAACACAGGCGATTGGCCGTCCGGCCCGCCGCCGACGGGGAGGACGGTGTCGGTGTTGGCGAAGCGGGCGTTTCCAGGGACGACGGGGTGCAGACGGAGGGCTGGTCCTAGCGTTAGCATCTGCAGATAAACCGAGTGTTTCGTACGTACATTCGTTCAGGCAATACTTGACATAGGTCAAATTCCGCAGCTGCTCGTACGTCGGCGGCCGACCGTTCAACGAGGCCACCTCGTCGCGCAGCTTGGCCCAGATCCGCGGGTGCTCGGCCAGCATGAAGAAGAGGTTACTCAGCAGCGAGGCGGTCGTATCCCGACCGGCGAGGAGGACATTCATGACCTCGTCGCGGATGCGGCGGCGGTCGCCCGTCTGCTGCGCCAGGCCGTGCAGGAACACGTACCGCTGTTTCTTCTCGCCGTCGCCGTCCTCGAGTGTCTTCTCGTCGAGGCCCTGCTTGCGCACCTCGAGCGCCTTGTCGACAAACTGCTCGACCAGCGCGTGGCAGACGCGATTGCACCGCTCCGCCTTGCGGTCGCGGTAGAAGCGAGACAGTGGCCCCAGCCGTATGCGCGTGGCGATCGCATGCTGCGCGTAGTTGAAGGCGCCGGCGAAGTCGTTGTCAACGTATGCGTCGCGGCCTCCGGAGCGGCGCTTCTTCAGGGACTGCACGCTCTGGCCGAAGAGGAACTCGGTCGCCGAGTCGATGGTGTAGCTGAAGAACAGGTCCTGGAGGTCGACGGTGCTGCCGTCCTTGGGGATCAGCTCGATCAGGTCGGCCATCTGCGCCTCGAAGATGGCGAGATCGGCGACCTGGTCGCGGACGAAGTTGGGGCGGATCATGGCGCGCGATTGCGCCCAGTGCTCGCCGTCGGTGGTGAAGATGCCATAGCCGAGCAGGGGGCCGAACGCCTTGAAGCGTTGGCCCAGGCCGTAGTCCTTGAAGCGCAGAGAAAGGACGGTCTTGATGTTTTGGGGGTCGCGGGTGAGGATGATCGTTTGGAAGAGGCGCCGCGTCGCCATGGTGTGGCCGATTTCGTTGAACCGGGCCAGTCCGCGCTCGAGGAATTTATGTTCCTTGACATTCTGGATCGTGGTATAGATGGAATCCAGCCCGAAGAAGGGATCCTTGGAGGGGACCCGCGGGGGTGCTTGGCAGTTGTGCTCACGGGCGAAGCGATACTGTGTCCATTTGCTACGGAGGACGATAAGGGCGTAGATGAGGACAGCTATCGCCCCTGCGATGAGGGAGATGGAGTATTGGGAACTCATTTTGCGATGGCCGACATTCGTCTTGGACAAGGAGGTAGGTAAGATGATAATCATAAATAAACGACGCCCAACTCGTGTCTCGCTCCACTCCTCCAACCGGGTCAACAATCCCCCCGACCAGACCATGAGGCAGACCGGTCAGACTGTCAGACTGCTGGCCGCACTGACAGTAAGCTCTTGTGTCTGCATCGGACCAAGACGAGACCGAGCCGCCGTCATTCGTCTGCCTAGTATGCAGCGATGCATCGTGCGCAGTATTGATTGATGCCTATCCCCAGATCCATCATACGCTGGGCTTGAGCCGAGGTTGATCCTTCTCCAAAGTATCCAGTCCATCAGTGGTCTAGACGTCGTCTGATCTCCAAGATCCACAAAAAGGATTGCGTACCCTGCACAAATTAATACTTGTATTTCCCCTTCCAGTAAGTATCAATCTTGAATTGGCCCCATCTCCTGCCGTCACTCCACCCGCGCACATCCTCTAGGGCGGCTTTAAGGGGAATTTCCGACGCCTGTTCCGCGCCGTTGGGGAGCCGCATTATGACTTATTTAGGATCCTTGGATAGAGCTGTTGTTAAACTGAGAGGAAGTGGGTTTGTGGCGTGGTTACCAGATGAAGCTGATACTCGTCAGTCTAGTAGTAGCTCAAAGATCCGGCTACTGGACGCCTTATGTTCTTGGTCAGGCTTACGAGAGCCAGTTAACTATGTCAGTGGACTCGTCAAGTCACAAGTCATTGTACAGAAATATCACCATTATGGTGAGGAGCACCAAGTAGATAGCAATCTAAGAACGAACAGTTCCATACTCCCAGTCCGATAAAACCAACCCCGCCTACCATGAAATGATTACAAAGTATGCTTGAACGCATGACATGCTGAAGGGAGAAAAACAACTAGACCATCTGCAAGGCCCAGATTACTTCTTTCGCGCAGCGCGCAGTTTGCCCACCGTCCCACTAGACATGATATCCCCATGATCTGCACTGCTATGGCTCTCATTGTCGTTGTCACTGTCCTTGTCGCTCTCACTCTCACTCGAACTGGAGCTGGAGCTGGAGCTGGAGCTTGACTCGCTCTCGTCGGAATCGTCGTCCGACGGAGGGGAGAAGATATTTCGCGGCCGTTTCGGCGCGGCGCTGATCTTCTTCTTCGCTTGCTGCGCCTTCTCCGCGGACTCTTTCTTCTTGTCGACGAGCAGCGTCTTGAGTGTGGCGCGGCTGCGACTCCCGTTGATCGGTTGGCCCCAGGATTGCGACGCCGACTGCGAGGGTGCGGGGGACCGCGCGTTATCTTGCGACGAAGGGGTTGCGCTGCTGCGGCGGAGGAGGTCGGCCTTGCTCTTGGCGGGTTTGTCGGTGTCGGTCTCGTCGTCATCCTCGTTTTCGGATTCAGAGTGCTCCGAGGATTCTTCGGAGGATGAGGAGGTGGAGGACACGTCTATTGGCTCGGAGGCGGGGGATTTCTTCGTGCCATTCGTCTTGGCCTTGGGGAGGTCACCGCGCTGGATCTTCGTCACAGGAGGCAGCTTGGCGTCCTCAGCGGAGCTCTCTGGAGGTTCGTTCGGAGTGCCCTTCGGCTCCTCTTCTGTCGGGCGGGGTTTAGGTACTGTAGGAGTAGCAGTCGAATCTGGTGCCTTCTTCGCCTCTGCTGCCTTCTTATTCGATCCTTTGCCTTCGGCCGTTGTAGGAGTAGTAGATGGCTCTGTCGCCTTCTTTGCTTCGGCTGCCTTTTTCGCGGAGCCATTTCGTTCAGCAGCTGGGGTCGACTTCTTCGCACCGCCCTTCGCCTTTGATGCGGTATCCGCCTTGGGTGTGCTTGCATCTCCCTTAGGCTTGGACGAGTCCGCCTTCAGTTGCTTATCATCCTGCGTAGAAGCACCCGTATCTGCCTCCATTTTGGCAATTTCTTTACGCTTCGCCCGTAAATCCGCCCGAGCTCGCTCAAGCCTGTCTTTCTCGCTGGAACGGTTCCGCTTCTCGAGTTTCTGGACCCGTTCCAATTTGGCCACGAGCTCTTCCAGGTTGCGCACGTATGCCGGATCCCTATTCTGCTCCTTGGCTGCTCTAACCATCTTCTCGGCTTCTTCCCTGTCCTTGTGATGCTTCTCGAATTTCTGATTCGCTTCTCGCATCAACTGTTCCACCCGTTCCTGAGGAACACCGGTAGGGAACACCATATTACTCGGTGTCGACGACTTCTTTCCGGGCTCAGAGCCTGGTGTCCCTTTGCCCTTGGGGTTGGTCTGCGGGGTCGATTTCGGAATTGGGGTCGAGGCCGTAATGATTACGTCCTCTTCTTCGGCAAAAGACACAGACCGGCGTTGCGCCGACTTGTCGGCAGGCGAGTCCTTCCGTAAAGCCGAATGTAGTTGCTTCACTTGATCCAGAGCAGGTGTTTGCTTGGATGGCGTGGCATCGTTTTCCACCAAGGATGCACGGCGGATCGTAGACGCTTTGCTTGAAAAGAGGGGCGTTCCCGCGGTCGACTCCTGGGACAACGGAAGCATCACCTGCGGTTTGCTAGGGGGGCTCTTTGTAATACCCAGCCCGAGACCGGGTTTCGCAGACTCGGTAGGTTTCTCAGAGAGACTTGACCGTCGGCCGATTCCAGAGAACGACGGTGCCCTTTCGTGTCTTCGGGCCAATGGACTGCTGACAGGTGGCTCGGACAGGGACTGGCTCGGGTTGTTCTCCTTGTCCGACGATCCAGGGCTTCTGGGCTCCAAACGAGGCTCCTTGTTAGGCGCCTCTGCCTCCAAGCTCTTCTTTCTCTTGCGTTGTCGAACCGCGGGCATCTCTCCCCTAGAGGAACTCTCTTTGCTCCCATTCACCACCGGCTCATCCGTCTGCTTGGCTTCCTCCGTCGCCGCAACGTCGCCGTCATTCATCGCCACATCTCCATCTTTGTCCAAATTATCAGATTCTTCTTCCTCCTCATCCAACTCGCGTTCCGGCTCAGAGATGTCTGTTTCTACTTCCTCCTCCTCCTCATCCAACTGCCGTTCCAGCCGCGACGGTGCTTGTCTCGGACTCAAGGGCGATTCTGACCCGCTGCGCTCACGCTCCGTTCGATTCGACGAGGGAAAGTCCGGCTCCGCGACAAACTGTGAGATTGACCGCGTGGCAGGCACCTGTTTCGAGACGGAGCCGCGTTTCGCGGGGGACGTCTTCGTCTTGGGCGTTGGGGTCCGTACGCGTTCCGGTGAAGGCGACTCCCCCAGCTCCTGACTCTCCATGCGCTTGTGCTGTGGCGTAGCCGCAACAGCTCCACCCTGGGGATCCTGCAAGTCGTTCTCATGCACAAGCGACTCGTCCCACCGCGGAGGC